AGGTATAGAGTAGTCTGTGGGAGGTATAGAGTAGTCTGTGGGAGGTAGAACTAGATTTGAAGGACAAGTGGGAAAGGTAAGAGATGGGAGGAAAGAAAGGGCTACAGAAAGACTGATTTATCTATCTATCTATCTATCTATCTATTTATTAAAAATTTCCACTTCCTCCCCACCTCCCTTTTCCTTTCCCCTCCCTCCCTCCCCCTCCCTCTCTAGTCCTAAGAGCAGTCAGGGTTCCCTGCCCTGTGGGAAGTCCAAGGTCCTCCCCCCTCCACCCAGGTCTATAAAGGTGAGCATCCAAACAAACCAGGCTCCCACAAAGTCAGTCCATGCAGTAGAATAAAAACCCAGTGCCTTTGTCCTTGGCTTCTCAGTCAGCCTTCATTGCCAGCCACGTCCAGAGTGTCCATTTTGATCACATGCTCCATCACTCCCAGTCCAGCTGGCCTTGGTGAGCTCCTATTAGATCAGTCCCACCATCTCAGTGGGTGGATGCACCCCTCATGATCCTGACTTCCTTGCTCATGTTCTCCCTCCTTCTGCTCCTCATTTGGACCTTGGGAGCTCAGTCCAGTGCTCCAATGTGGGTCTCTGTCTCTATCTCCATCCATCGCCAGATGAAGGTTTTATGATGATATGCAAGATATTCATCAGCGTGGCTATGGGAAAGGCTGTTCTTAAGCTATCATTTAACCAGTTCTTGAAAGAAGTCCTGCTGCAATTGGTGCGGGTTGAGTTGACAGCAGAGACCTAGACTCTGTGGTTTTAGGGGGTGGTTAGTCTTTGGCCTGAGCCTTCACTCAAATGATGGAAAGGCAGAAAGGCCACTGAGAACTTAAGGTTCATAACTCAAAGTTTGTAGTACGATATGGGTCAAAGGGGACGAGGAGAAAGGTAAGCACGGGCGACCTGTCCAGTTAGTTGATAGATGGCAAGACCTCTAAATGGGACAGAGGGTGCAGAAGGGAGAAGGAATTTCGGGAAAAGGCAATGAGAATATTAGACACAGGTTGAGGAGTGCCTATGGTTGCCTTTAAGAGAGTAATGACTGTTTTCTCAAGGTGGCAGGATGAGTGAGTGTAGAAATAACATTGGGTCTGTAGAGCTTTGGCTTCACAGTCTGCTAGCAGCCTGTGACCATGATACATCCCCCTAATCTATGTTCTGGTTCTCACTGTTAAAAGTGGGAGTACAATAGCCATTGCTGAAATTATTTGTTGGAATATTAAAACATGAAGAAATTATAGCATTAGAACATGGGTTTGGCATTTTGAGGATAGTAGAAACATAACCAGAGACATGTAAATTCATAAATTGTTGATGACACGCTGGAGAGTAAGCTATGGATAGCATGTGTCATGATAAAACAATAGTATCCACAAGCAAAATCTGGAAAATATTTCAATATTCAAACACAGAAATTTTCCTACAAATTAAACTCAAGTATAAAAGAGCACTTGGTCAGTTTGGATTTAAAAGACATTTTCATTAATACGTAAAATATGCATGTATTTTATGATTCATAACTATTTCATGTTTTTTGAATCTATAATTGACTCACCAAATGATGTGCTGTTTTCTTTGTTATTGAATGGGGAGAGGAGTTTTCTGCAAGCTTTGCCTAAGTAGATTTCCTTTTCTGACATTTGCAATGATGGCTGATGAACCTCTAGAGGGCAGCAGAGAATGGACCATCAAGACCGTGGAGCCTGGGGAAGGAGACAATTGCTCTCCAAGTTCACCTTCTGTAGCTAACTCAGTCACTTCCTTGTGCAATCTTGAATTCATTCCCATCCTCCCACAAATCCAAAAGAATACCACAAAACATCCAGTTTTACTCATCAGGAGATAACAAATCTACTTTTAGATATCTTTTTCAGAAATGCTGACCAAGCATTCCCTGCCTGTTCTGTAGGGAGTTAAATAACTATTTTTTTTTTTTTTTAGAACAAGCAATCTGATGGAATCGGTAACACAATGCTGCTGTAAGCAGAGTTCATCTACCTCCTATCGAAAGCTGTCAAATATCAAGAAATTACTGCTTATTTAAAGCCTTAATTTACCCTAAACTTGAATTTCTATCATAGTAAACAGGAATACAGTGAATCCGACCAAAATAGAACGAAACATCCACAGAGAAGAAAGCCCCTGAGCCCTATTATAGCGAGGCCCTCTCCCTATGGCCTTCACAGCTCAGTTTATTTGGACCCAGGTTTATTATCTGTTAAAAATGAGCATATTAGCAGTAAGGCATTTTCTAAAATTGGAGCAGTTCTTTGGTAAAAGGCTTGTGGGTTCAGGCTTTGAACTTGGTCTGGGCCTGGTAGGAATAAGATCTAAAATTTCGATGGCAAGAACTTTAACTGTCCAGATGGAGAGACGAAATTTAACTTTAAGAAATAAAGAAATCTAAGGCAAGCTTGATGCCTCCTTGGAAGGCTTTTGAATACTGAGATTTTGTTCCATCTGCCTTCCACACCTGTCTTTGGAAGCCCTGAGATTACAGATGTTCACCACCACATCTATTTTTTTTTTTGTGAGTTCTGAGGATTCAAAGTTCTGTTGACTCTCTTGTAAGGTGAGCAATTATCCACTGAACCATCTTTCAAGACCCTCCTTGCCCTGTCATGCAGGAAGGATCACAACTGCCCACAAGGTAGCTTTAGATCATCGAAAAGAAGAGTTATATGAAATCAAAACATTAATTTATGAAACATATTCTTCAAAACTTATTAGTTTCCCTCTGTGATTTTTCTACCCCATGTAAACAAGCTTCAGCGGAACCACACATCTCCATAAGAATGGTGACCCTGAACCTGCATGATCGCAGCACCCGAGCTGACTTGGTGATGATGTCACGTGCCATGCCTGAGTACAAATCACAGAGCTCAGAGCTCTTTCATTCTCACCTCAGTATGTGCCAAGCCTGCTACTGGCTTGGCAAGGGCACACACAGGTGGCCATAATGAGTCTGTGTCCTAAATCCTGAGACAAGGTGTGGACAAGGTCAGAAGAAAATGCAAAATAGAGGATATTTATAAAATTTGAGTTCAGAATCTGACAAGGGGCTTATCTGGCCTCTTTTTTACTATTTAAAATTTTCATACTTGTATACAGTGTATCTTGATCGTATTTCCCACAGTTTCCTTCTTGTAGTCCCACATCACCTCAACATACCTCCCATGTTCTTCCAAACTCCATGCCTTATTTTATTTCATTTACATGTGTTATGAGTGTTTGCCTAGATGAATATATGTACACCAAAAGCTTGCCCGGAGCCCATGGAGGTCAGAAAAGTACGCCCGATCTCCTGGACCTAGAGTTACAGACAGAGAGACAGGTGTTGACCTCCACGTGTGTGCTATTTGTTCACAACCACTTAGCCTTCTCTCCAGCTCAGCATCATCGTCGTTATCACCATAATCATCACTACTATCTTCAGTTTACAGTGAAGAGCTAGCAGCCTTGAGAGCTGCAAAGCCTTTTTCAGAATTTGTGTAAAAGTAATTTAAGAAATCATAAACTCATTGATTTTACTGGATTATAAGTGTAGAACAAAATTGAAATAAATGGACATAATGTCTTGATAAATTTTATAACTTTTTTTTTATCCAAATAATGATGCTTTGCTCAGAAACTGCAAGTGTGTTTCTCACAAATCAAATCCACTGAAAATAGAAGGTATGATACAAAGCTAGCCACCTAGGGTGTGGGAATTTTAAAATTCAAAAACCCCATTGAGACTAGTTGAATGCCTAGTACTGGAGTAGTTTTTAAAAGAATTAAAACATGATAAACAGTTGAAGGATATATTTTATTAAACCCAGCACAATCAAAATATTATTCCAATCTGCAACACCTTTAAAAATTGTTAGCTCCCGCAGCTGTGAGGAGGCCGCCAAGGTTGTACCTTGCATCGACACCCAGACTTGCCAGTGATAAGAGTCACCCAGATGGTACTGGTTTTGAAAACACGAAGGGGTCACTGAGCAGCAGAGGCTTGGCAGGCACTGTGAGAGGCCAGGAGAGGCCACTGTGTTGAAGGTGCAGTTGAATGCCTAGTACTGGAGTGGCCATACAGAGAGGTTGAGGCTGCGACATGAAGAAAGCCTGCGAGAAGCTATTGGTGAAAGTGTCGCCCCATTGAACTAAAAGGCTCCATCATTATGGAGATTCCAGTACCATGGGAGGACCACCCAGAAGAGCGACAGCATCGGGGTGGAGTCTGCTTGAGCTCAGAAGAAAAGCTGTGCCTGCCGCAGAGGGTGGAGCCAGGTAGGTGAGCCAGGCCCTTTAAGGCGCCCAGAAGACCCTGAGTGAATCTCAGATGATCAGACATAAAGTTCTTTTCCACTTTTGGAGTTTGGTTTTTCTTTGTTCTTATTGTGACTCTGTCCTGGTGCATCCCTTTTGAGGTGAGAAGGTATCTAATTTAATTTTGATTTGCATGGGAGTTCACAGCTGAAAGGACATTAAATATTTAAAAGATATTTTGGATTCTAAAGAGATTGGTGATTTTAAAGAGATTGAAGTTTTAATGTGTTTGAATTTGTAACGACCGTAGGATTTTTAAATCCATTTATGTTTTACAATATGGCATCAATATTATATGCCATCTTGGGGATAAATGAGACAGAAAAGGTTCTAACTGAAAAGTATTTATGTTTGTATGCCAAGTTGACAAGGGGTCTGTTTTTACTCGACTAGTTTGATGTCTGTTTGATACAGATGAGAAGGGGAGATTCAGCTGAGAAAACGGATTCTAAGGTCAGGATATAGGCAAGTGTGTAGGGCATTTTCTTAATTAGTGATTGAATGGAGAGACTGAGCCTATTGTGGGTGACGTCACCCTTGAACTAGCAGTCCTGGGTTCTGTAAGAATGCTGTCTAAGCAAGCCAGGAGGAACAGGACAATGAGCAGCATTCCTCCATGGCCTCTGTGTCGGCTCCTGCCTCCAGGTACCTACCCTGTCTGAGTTCCTGTCCGGACTTCCTTCAAAGATGAACACTTATGTGGAAGCATAAGCCAAGCAAACCCTTTCCTCCCCAAGTTTCTGTGGTCATGGTGTTTCATCACAGCAACAGGAACCCTAACTGAAAAAACAATGGTTTTTGTAAATAAAACCAACAACATCAGAAAAACTTTGTGCTCTTATACATATGATATTAATATTTCATTGTTTATAAAGGAATACATTTATTTATCTAAAGCACTATTCCTAGTGTATTCATATCACAAAGAAAAATTCTACTTTATCTCTTGCTCTCACCGTCAATTTGTAATCTAGAAAAGACTGAGATTCTAGAGAAAATAGTGAGATACTGTTTTAATTGTTTTCTACATTGTTTTGTAACCATGGTAAGGGAAAGAAAACCAATCATGATTAAATGAGGGCCCTGCTTACACAGTAATAAAAGATTTACAGCTCTTTAAACATATTTCATGAAACAAAATTAGGAACAGAGCATCAGGGAGTTCACACGAGCTAAATTAATAAAACGGCTTCTATAAACCCCCACTGGAAAAAATTTGTTGGCTCTTCTACTTGCTTTGTTCCTTTCTAAGTCTGAAATCACAGCTAGATTTCATATTCTCAGCACATCTAAAGTCAGCCACATTCCAGGGCCTAAAGGTCACACAAAGCTGTCAATCTGTAGGAGATAAGAGCACAGGCGGTTGCCCAGCTCTTCTGTAAGACCTAAAGTGATTTGAAATGTTTGACCGGCTTGTTTTCTCTTTGCTATCAATGCGTCCACTGTGTCAGGTATAAAACATCAGACCATCACCGGGAAGGATCCAGCCCAAGCAGCAAATAGCAACAAAGACATCATGGATAATAGCTTCTCAAAGCAAAGTTGTTCACCTTGTCTCAATCAGGCAGAAAAGAAGGAAGGAAGGGGTTTGAGATAAGACATAACCCTAGAATAAACATTCCCTAGTGATTTTCTTGCTCCAACTGGGTCCTATCTCTAGAATTTTCTGCCACACACCAATAAGGACACCAAACTCTGAACTAGTGATATGATCTCCCAGATCAACTACCTTGCTATGTCCAGAAGACCAGCTTTCTTAGGTAGCCTGAGCTTCACCTGTCTAGCGATGGTGCCGCCCACAGTGAGCTGGGTTCTTGCACTTCAAGACAATCTCTCACAGGTATGTCCATAAGCTAATCTGACCCATGCACTTCTTCCCAGATGCCTCAATTTTGGGTCATGTTGACCCTCGAAACGAATCAGTGTATGAGCATTTAGGGGTAACCTCACATGCAAGCCATAATAATGTTTGAAAGAGAAAGTTCCTGGATAAAGGAAAATGGTAAATATATATTTATAGTTTTTTATTTTGATTTGCAGTATGCAGCTCTGAACTGAGTATCTGTTTTGCATTTTAACAATCTACGTGCTACAACATAATATGTCGTGCCAAGAAAAAGTAAATAAAGGGTTCTATAGGAAAGATTTGTAGAAAAAATACAAAAATGTAAATGGTGCCTTCTCTAACATTAGCATCACAATGTTTTGAGATGACAAAGGAGATCTTACATCATTCCCACTTGGCAATTCTTTGCTGCTTTTAGTGAACTGTAATTGAGCCACTAAGTGGCACCTATTGTCCAATGACAACGTTAAGAATCTTTGTAAAGATCTAGTTCTTCAGTGAGTCCCTACCCACATGATACTTTTTTTTTGTATTCCTGTTAGGGATGGTCCAATGTCAACTCAACCTATCCCTCCACACTTGGTGGGGATATTCTCAAAGTATGACCGGAAGGAGAAATCGGAGATGGTGATAACCAGAAGATCTGCATACCCATGCACAGATGAACACATTTTTAAAGGACTTGTACTCAATCAAATATTCCAAAATTGCAAGAACCTTTCAGGCTTTGGGAAGCAAGTGTCTCTACCATCAGAAGTGTGCTCATGTCAGTGAATTTACTGATAGTTCTCCTGATTCATCGGCATTTAACATTCAAAACCCCTTGGCTCCAGATCATTGCATATTTTGACATTTAATGCCCTTTTAGTGTTTCTGCTAAAAAAGCAGTAGCAACATTTTAAATCATGCCATTCCTTTTTGAAATTTGTGTTTTCCTAAACCAATGTTCAGCACCGTAAGTAATAGTTCAACCTAAAAAGCATGAGTGTAGAGGGTCAAGGTCCTTGGGCACAGTTATATACATGAGGGAAACCAGGCAAGGTAAACATGCAGGCTTATATCTTCAGAGGAAGAGTATGTTTACCTATCTTTCACCTGGAATGCTGGAAAAGTTTGTTGTTTACAACCTGGTGATCTTTTGACCTCACCAGAATCCCCCAGACTGTTATGTTTGTTTACCCCAGACTCACCATGCTGTCCTTATAGACCTTGAGCATTGCATCTCAGGCCATCCTTATGAAAGATGCCATTTGTCCTTTACAGAAACCTAGGTGATGTCCATGTTATTATAGGGCAAAGTTGCTCCTAACTCCCATAGGCACATGTTTGCCTCAGGAATTCTCCCCTGACTCGTCTAGAGCAGCGGTTTCTGACTTGACAGAACCCATCTTTTGGAAGAGCTCATGTGGACTTTGTAAAGAGTTGGTATCTAAACATGACTTAAGCTTTGTTGTGCACACAGGTGAATTAATTGACATCAGGAAACATTTTTCAAAAATTAGGCTGTTCTTAAATATTGCTAAAATTAGCCACCTTACGTCAGATTCAAGAAGTGGAACTAGCCTGGCTCACTACTTCTGGCTAAACTGGATTTCCTTCTTGCCTCACGTGGATCTGTATTCCCAACATGACTTTAAATACGCTGCAGGAACTCAACCCTTGTAATAATCTGTTAGTTGTTCATGTATACATCTTCACTATTTTATTCATGAGGAAATTAGAGTGTATGAACTTTGGTGAATGTACCTTAGTCAAATAGAAAGTGGGAGGTAACGTCAGTGTCTATACTCAGCTAACTACAGGCCAGAACCCAGGCTCCCGCCCAACATGCAAAGCCCCACAATAAGAAATAAATTAGCAGCATCTTCTAGGTGTGACAGTCAGGCAAGCAGAGGCTTTTAACACACATGACAGGTGGATTCCCCTAAGTCGCCACTGCTGCTGCCACCACCACCTTCTCCCGCCTGCCCTTTCTCTTCCTCCTCTTTGCTTCTGTCTTGTCTTCCATCATTTTCTCTTCCATTGCCTGCTTCTCTTCCTCCCTTTCTCCTCTTCTCTTTCTTTTTTGGTTAAGTTTTTCATTTCGCTCACATCTCAAAGTACAGTCCACCATAATGCTGTAAAATCATGGCAGCAGGAATTTAAACACAGGCTTAGTTGCATCCTCAGTCAGGAATCAGAGATGCTGATGCTGCTATTCAAGCCTTCTGTTCGTTTAATTTTTTAAAGTATATTTCCTTTATCCATTGACAATTTTATATGTGCACACAGCATCTTAATCATATTCACTCCTATTTCCCTCTCTGTCTCCCAAACCACCCCAAACATGTCCCCTCCAATTTTCATCTACTCCTAGATTTATTTTGATGTAGCTCACTGAGTCCAGTTAGTGCTATCTGCTGTGGTGTTGGCTGATCTTGCTGACCTGGCTTGGTATAGAGCTTGTGTGCAAGCAATCATAACTCCAGTGAGTTCATCAGTACAATGACGATGTCGTGAGAAGACAGCATCCTGGGAGATTTCTTCCTGTCCTCTGGATCTTATAGTCTGACCCAACTCTAAGTCTGGCACAATGTCTCACAACGTCCTTGCAGAGCGAGAGGGTTGAAACAGATGTCTCCATAGTGCTGAGCTATCAACAGTCAGTAATTCACAGCACACTGACTGGAGCTATGAATTTTTGTGTTGTTTCCCACAGCAAAAGAGGCTCCTCTGGCCAAGACTAAAAGTGGCTCTAATCTAAGGGCAGAAACATTGTGCTAACAATATGCATAGAGTACTCCATGAACGCAAACTCTGAGGGAAGTAATCCCAGTGATGCTAGTTAGGTTAAACCTGAGTAGTGAATATATGATCTTTCATTGCATTTTATTCTAATTTGAAGTATCCAGTTTTTGAAACATTTAATACTAAAAAGAGAAAGTGGAGATTGCATGAACATAATTTTCTATATTAATTTTTACATAAAATGCATCCAATTGTCTAGTTGGATTTACTGATTCATTGTGACGTTGTAAATAAATGTTTCCTACTGCTCAAATGTCTTATATTTTGATGGAGAAGACTTAAATTGTGGTTAAAGCCGGTGAAGGTTATTTGTTAGAGAATGCAGACCTTCAAAAGTCAGGGAAATGAGCATTTTTATGAAAGAAAAGTTATTCTGAAAAAAGAAGAAAATGATGAAATATTAAAGTGTATTCTACTCTGCCATACTAGCCTGCATAGATGTGTTTGAAAGTATCTAAAAGATTACTACTTTTAGTAGTAATTAAAGTAATTACTACTTTAGTAGTAATTAAAGTGCTACTTAATCTGTAATGTGATTATCTGATAAGAGATCACGAGACAAAAGTTAATGAGTTATGCTCAAGAAGAGGCAGCACAATAGGGTTATTATTTAAGAAACAGCATTCCGTCACTGTATCCCATGATATCATTTGTTGAGGAGCAGTGCAGAGTCCTAAGAGATGGTTGTCCTTGCAGAGGTGAAGTCACAGGTTAGGAAGATAATGGTGGAGGATGAGAAGGAAGAGAGATGGAGACTCTAAGACAGTCAGTAAAGTCCTGTGACCACACAGTTAGTGTATCCTGGTGGCTGGGATGTAATGGCTGCCCTCGCAGGCATCTTCTGCTCCTTAACCAGCAGACTTCACTTTGCTATCAGCTCTGATCCCCACCTATCCCAGAACTGCATCTTCAAACTGCTGCCCTTGATTTCTGGAAGTGCCCTTCGCTTTTCTGTAAGGCTAGGTGAGCTGGTTTGAGTAGGTTTGCTGCTCAGTGGATTTTAGCACTAACTACTAACAGGATTTAGAACCGAGATTGTGATCGTCAAGCCAATCATCCTTTTTCTGCCAGCTTCTGAGAAGAGGACGTTCAAGCATGAGTTTCTAACTCCTTCCTCCTGCTGTACTTCTGTGTTGTTACGAAACTCTTCCCGTGGCATCAGGCAAGGAATGTCCCAAATTCTACCTGTGATAATGCCAGATCTAAAAGGGAGTGTCTTTGCACCCTGAAAAAAGAAAAGGTCACTGTCTCTGTTGTCGTGAACTTGTCAGTTTCCTTTCTTCTGTTGCTTTTCAAATATTCCCAAAGTCTCATGTTTTGCTTTAGTATTTTTTCCATCTGGTGTTCTTTATTATTCATTGTGTATTGCTCAATACAGGTTCTTCTTTGAGTTAATTCAAATTTTTCTCTTTTGCTCATTATTTATATGCTCATATTGATCTACCAAACAGATCAATTATAGACTGAGGATGTCATGTGACCCATCCTTTTTTTGATAAGAGATAACAAAATCAAACACTTTATGTAATTACATCAACTTCTGTTTGGGACAAGAGTATAACAACATTGCTTCAATCATTACCTAAGATCGATCCTAACCACAGATTTCACAATGCTCTGGGAGGTTAATGCACTTTTTCCAAGGTAACATTTAAAACTTTTATTTTCAAAGCACAGATATTTTATTTTATTCTCACCACCAATTCCCAAACAGATAGCACTCATATTTAAATGACAGGAATTATCCGGATTCTGGGCACCAGTGTAAACAGTTGATAATCAATATGCATTCTGAACAATGTCTTTCACGTCAGTATGTGATGGTTGCCAGGTCATTTCTCTCTTAACTACCTGAGCCAAGAAGAGTGGCGATGCCGTGCGGCCAGGAAGAAAATGGAACCAAACATTACGACCCAGAAAGAACTGGGGATTAGATTGATATTGTTTTTGATGCAGACTGGTCCTCATACAAGCTAAGCACAGACTAACTGCACCCTCAGCCTGGGAGTTAGAGTCCTTTGCCTTGATTATTTGTTCTCTGTGTTAAAGAAGGCTTTTGAGCAATTCTCTATTGAACAAACATTCTGAGAGGCTGAAAATGGTTGATCGCCTAAAACATAACAAATGGAACTGTTGGATTTTTTTCTAGCTTAAATAAGTGCATAAGAGTTGCTAGAAGGGGATAAAGGGACACTGTGCAGCCCTCTCTACCACAGATTCAGCTCCATTTTTCAATTACATTGATTTATGAATCCATCTGTACAGGAAATGCAGATTCCTGCATCCCCTAGTCAGTTATAATAAAACTATGCAGAAGGAAGAACAAAAATGCTCTGATTTAATGAAAATAAATATTCTGAGAAAGTTTAGAAAGCAAAAACTATGCACACTAGTTCCTAAATGAACAATTGTCTTGATGGTCCATTGTTCTAGCTTTGATTTTGATGTTGTAAGAATACCCTCACAAAAAGCAACCAAGGAAGGAAAGGGTTTCTTTGACTTACAATTCCGGATCACAGTCCATCCCCTGAGTGGGAGTCAAGGCAGGAACTCAAAACCTGACATCCACAGTGAAGAGCAGAGAGGGATAGACGCATGGGTTCTTTCTTGACTTGAAACCTGACATCCACAGTGAAGAGCAGAGAGGGGACAGATGCATGGGTTCTCTTTGACTGCTTGGTGCCTCCAGTCTTTAAGTTCAGGCCCAGCCTAGGGAATGATGCTGCCTATACTGAACTGAGTCAGTTAACAGCAGATATGTCCATGGGCCAAAGCAAGCTATAGAATTCTTTAACAAAGACTATTTGCAGCTGATTCTAGGTTGTGGCAGTTGACATTTAAAATAATCCTCAAAACCGTATGCAGTTCAATAGATGCAATTACCATATTTAATTATAAAGTATACTTTCCATTATTATATAAAGGTAAAAGATGCCTATTATGTAATTGTTAGTATTTTCCATGCTCAGTCTACAACAGAAAAATAGACAAATACAACTATATTAAACAATACAGGTAGAAAGGGTGTATACAGAAATATGAATCTTCAATGATTTTATTAGACTTTCCAAACTATGACATAAAGTCCATGACAATGAATGAGCCATTATAATTATATGCATTAAAAAAAAAAGCAATTTTTTGTTCTAACATAAGATTAACATTCTTCTACACTGCCTGAGGTGGAGTACTCCTCTGGATCATTTCAAGTATTTTGAGCAAAAAGAAAATGAATAGCCAGTAGAAATTGGTCAATACATATTCAATAATTTCTATAATTGTAATCAGACTAGCTCCACAAAATAGGCCCAGCTGACCGCCAACATCGGCTGTAATAAAAATCCAAAAAGAAATCACTATTTTTCATGAAACAAAAGTAAACATTGTTATAGTATACATTATTTGAATCTCATAAGTTGATCATGGCTGACATGTGCATATACATTAATCATTTTGAAATTTAATATAAATAAAGTAATACAACCTAGTAATGCCTGACAACAGTATTCACACAAATCATCTCCAACAGGAGAAGGTATGAAACTATGTTTCCGTGGATTGAATTTAGATTTTGGAAGATCTGAATGCCAGGCGAAACTCTAACTACAATGTAATGTGCACTCGTGAAATGCAAAGCAGAGCTGGATCTTGGTACCATATGGTCTTACAGGAGCCATGCTGTTTTTCCAGAAGACAATTTCCATGCAAATTGCCCTGCTAGGGTCCTAATTATATTTTGTATTAAGCATTCATCTTGGTCCATTTAACCGAAAATATATTTAAAACACTGCATTTTAAAAAATGTTAATTTACATTGACATATACAATATTTATATTTGGACCGTTTGGAAGTGTGCAGTTCTAAGACACAGCGCACACTTTTTTCCTTCATCATTGCTACCTCTAAAACCTTCCCTCATTCCCCAGAACTCCTGAAAACTAATGCCCTAATGTCTTTCACCCATAGAGCCCAGCAACCACCACCCTTTTGTTTCTCGCCATCAATGTTCCTGCTCTAGCACTGCCTTCTAGAATACACATCAGTGGCTGCTTTGGCAAAATCCTGTGTGGTGGAGTCACTGGTGGTTTCTCGGGAGGATAAACACTTAGTCCCTCGTAGGAGACAGGGCAATTAATCCTTCTTTCTCCACTGATAGCCTAACCAACCCCTGAACAGGAAACGAGAGTTGAAGTCAACAGACTTACCGAGCAACTCGGGGACACTCACTGCCTTCTGTTGCTGTGTTACTTTATAGTTTAAGTCACTATAATTTATCTCAATGTTCACAAGATTCTCGCTGGGGGTGGAAACAGAATGAACATAGCTTACAGTTGTCACCACGATTTTTAATCCCCATTATAGATTCAGGAACTATTTACCATTGCATTAGATTCAGCACATGAGCTCAGCGTCAATCCCTTTAGCATTATCTGGAAGGCATTCTTGCCATGGTGACATTTGGGGGAAAAAAGAAAACAGCCCCCACATAACGTTTCTGTGCTTCATTCTTGAGAAACCGAAGGAAGATAGTACATGTGATCATCTAATTGTGGCCCATTATATCTACAAACTTTTGGATTATAATTTTAATTCAATTTGTAACTTTTCCAAGTTGTCTAAATTATCCTGAAGAAGCAGCATCTTTTTCTTGTTCTATTAGTATAGTAGGGCTGAGCTCACAGGTTTTGGTGAGAAATTAAGCACGGATCAAAGTAGAAGCTGCCCTGCTAATAAATGCAATTTCCCCATTTATTGTTGACATACTTGAGCAAAGATTGTTTTATTAATGCCCTTTATAAACCTTCATGCATGCCCAGAGTGGTTCCATATGACATTAAAACCTATATTGATACAGTCAAGGGTCCCAACTCTCTCTGCTACCAAGACCTCTGCTTTGAATCCTGATCATGTATTTGATTGGTTTTTGGTAATTCCACTTGCTTGTCTAATAATTTAACATACTCTAACACATTCTAAGTCAAACCCTTGATATTTTTCATTAAGCACCCTTATGTGATCTAAGAGGAAATCCTGTTTCTGGAACTGTCTGCATCTATATAGAGTCCCATTGCTACACACACTCACTACTCTTCCCATTGTCACCCAAGCCATCATAATCTCTGCCAAGAGTTTGTTATAGGTATCTGACTGGAGATTATGCTTAACACATACGATTTGCATTACAGCACCTCAGCAAATATTGGCTGTTCTTCATACAATAGTCATTCTATGACCTGCTGAATCAGGACACGCTGGCTGCTCTCCCTGATACTCACAGGGCCCTCACTGGGAAACATCTGCACGAACTTTCGAGACCCATGGCTGTAGAGTTTGGTTCACTTCTGCTCAAAGTCTTTCCCACAAATCTGAAGGCCAATCTTTTTTTCCCTCCAACTTCTCTGGAAGACTTTCCCTCTATCTTTTCTGTTACAGCATCTAGCATCATTTTATTTAACTTACATACTTATGATCCATTTCCACTGCAATAGAAATATGTCCAATAAGGCATGGCTTGTAAACTTCATTAAGGAATTCCCATGCCTACCAAAGCCTTTGACTCTGAACACCCAACACATGCTTTTTATATATTTGTTGAAATTGCAACAGCTTAAAGATGGACTTAAACCAACAAGTGGCTAAATATTAACCTGTCTGTCCTGTGAAATGAAGTTGAAATCTATTACTGCATTTTTTTCAGACAGCAATAAGAATTTTAATGAAGAATGGGCTCTATTAGCAATGTTTCCTGAATCAACATGGCATTCTCTAACATATCTAAGGATCATAGCTCTAAACCAATTTCCTTATTGTTTACTGTTTGGGGAGTCAATACTCAAAAATACTTAGTTCAAAATGCACCATTAATATGTGTTGTTAATTTCCATTAGTCTAATGTTAGGTAACAGGAAAATGTATAATATTTAAATAGCTCATCAGATGAAGTTATGATATTTACAAGTGATAAAACAGCTATCAAAATAAAAGAAGTTACAGTGTTGTCATGGGAATTCAGAAATTTTACTAATGTTCCTGACTTCCTGTTCTCCATTGTGCTCTTAATTTGCACGCACACTGATATGGTTTAACTTCCCAAGCTGAAATAAGGGGCTAATATAGTCCCGCACTCTAAAGTCCTATGGTTGTCATTGTTAGCTCAATGACCTCCAAACTGCCTTTCTCGACTGACCACCGCATCATTTCCTGAAACTTCAAGTGTTCATTAAAGAAAATTTCATGTTAATCACAATTAATTTATAAGATAACCAGATTACCTGAGATATTCTTGGCTTTGATTCAGTTTCTTTGCAAGAAACTTTAATGCTCTCTGACTTGGGAAAGTAGAATAGGAAATAGTAGCTGGGTATTCTGTTTCTTCACATGACACGGGGCAGCTGGAGTTGTGTGTTCCCATCGTACACAGACCCCTGAGCTCAATGTGGTCTGAAAGGAACATGAGAGCAACGCACTCAGACAAGACTTCACAACGGGAAGCCTGCGCCTTCTCAGGCACATCGTGTTTTCTCCCATATTTAAAAAGAAATCGTTAACTATGTCCACAACCTCAGTCAAACGTGTTTGTATTTTACTGTTAAATAACCAACAGGACAGACTATGAAACCATTGCAATCCTTGATCCACCGAGTCACTGGGGTCAGATCTTTGTTAGGAATGAGAAATTCCAGGACGTTCCTGGATTATTTCTATAAAAGATCAACTGTTTGGATGGAACAGGATTGAGAGTGGTGTGTGCCATGCCCCTTTGAGAGGAACCCGCAGACATAATTCTGAAGGTCCGTGGTTTAAAGTACTCTTAACTTTAGACTTGTCGTAAATTGCTGTGAAACACTGTTGACTTACGGTTCCTTGTTTCCATGGTCCCCTTTAGCTTCTCAGATGGCCACTGAAGTTCTCTGTCGACCAGGTCGCTATCTTTTCACCTACACCCGCACACTACTACACATTCCTATACCCACATGCACACAATCCAGCACATCCATGTACTCACATGTGCTGTTCTCAAGCAGACACGTGCACGCATGTGCTTTGACACACGCATATACAGTAACACCCTACACACACGTATTCTGCCACACTCGTATGCTCGTGCACACTGAAGTCACATAATTGTATGAACAGCATTGGGATCCTTTTATCCCATGGCAGTCCCCACACAATGACTGTATGCATGATTCCTTTTCCCAGGCTCTTCCTCTTGCTTACATCAGACGTAACATCTTTCTTGTTTTCAATATGGTATTATGGCATTTGTTTAACTGATTTGGAAACTAAAGAAAAATATAAATTTACTTTACATCCAGACCTTGAAGTATTTGATCACCACTTAAAAGAAAAATGTTTCTTCTGCTGCTGCCATCTTAATGATATTTCTACAATGAGTTAGGAAGTTCGAAAAGAAAAGGCTTTCATAGAAGAGTGCAAGGGTTAGTTCTGTCTACTTGACAAAATCTAGTAACAGCTGAGAAGGGAATTCCACTTTGGGATTCTGTAGATCGGGTTGGCCTGTGGGCATTTCTATGGTACATTATTAATTGTTTCTATTAATTGAGGTGGAGAAGTCCCACCCACTCTGGGTGGAACAATTTAAGGGATCATGAACCATATGAGAAACTAAAGTAAGAACAAGTGTGTGTTTATCAGTTCACTCTTCTCTGCTCTTCACTGTGGTTATAGTAAGATCAGCTCTTTCTAGTTCCTTCTGCCTTGACCTCGGCACAGTCACCACAGACTGTACGGAACCTGGAACCATGATTTAAAATAAAATAAAAGTCCCCTGGGTTGTTTAGGTAAGTTGCTATATTCCAAAATAATTCAAAGGGCATATGATATATTACATTTTAAGAGGGCAATCAATGATTTAAAAACATAAATATGAAGTTATGTGTATGGAACAAATTGTATAAGCATAGAATAAAAATAATTTGGGGGTCTTTGCAAAGTTTAGGCAAAATAAATTTGTTTAGGTTGTCAAAACATAAGGCGTATGTAGTTATGATTTTGTTTACATAAAATATTATGTGACACGTGTTTAATTAAATGAAAGAATGGTTCTTAAAAATATAAATGATTTTCAAACTAACAAGCTTCACCTGAATTTTATATGAACATTTGATCCAACTGTGAAAATGTTTCAGTACTCAAATAAAATGAATATTTAGAAAGACTTGGAAAGAGAACCCTGAGTGCTTGCTGGCCCTCTGTCATCCTGGGCCTTTATAACTTAGAGATTTCCTCTTTTACTGTGTTTATATAGTGAGTGCTACGGAATTTTTTTTTAATTTTATATAGCTTCTTTTTCATCTCCAGGATATCCACAGACTTATTTCTTATCTTGTAACTAAACAATTTCAATATAATCTCTGAAAGTTGTGGAATATTCCTATACACTGTATGAATATTTGTCACTGTGGTTAGTTTAATAAAGAAGCTGACTGGCCAATAGCTGAACAGAATAAGGTTAGGCAGGAGAGCCAAACATAACTTTGGGAAGGAAAAGGAAGGAGTCTGGCATAGTGAGTAGATGCAGAGAGAAGCAAGATGAACATGCTGTACTGAGAAAACATACCAAGCCACAGGGCAAAGCATAGATAAGAAATAAGGGTTAAATTAAGTATAAAAGTTAGCTAGTAATAAGCCTGAACTATTGACTGAACATTTGTAATTAATATTAAGTCTCCATATTGGTTATTTGGAAACTGAATGGTAGGAAAAATGTCTACCAACAGAAAGTAAAATAAACAATCAAGTCACTTACCAATGATAGGAGATACACAGTTGTAGTGTTTTAGTAGATTGCACTCAACACCGTTTCCTTAAAAACAGTAATTGTAACATATAAAGGGTTTTCTTGAAATAGAATTCTTCCATTAGAAAAGACAATAAAGCTTTGAAATGTGCGCCTATCTGGATAGGTGATTTGGGGGATCAATTCTGAACATTGTTATTTGAGTTCACTGGAGTCTTTGTATTTGAGGATGTATTTGATTGAATTCAGAACCTCAAACATTCTAAGTTCCTCCAGCTCCGAGACAGCCACCTCCCAGCACTGAGCTACATATGGGTCCCAGGTTTTTGATAAAATCAGCAACCCAAATTAGAAGCACATTCCTTTTCTGTATCCGTCCTTCACATGGACATTTATTCTTTAGAATATAAGCATGCAAACATGTCAGAATCTAGAGAAAGGAACTGTTGAGAAGATCACTACTTTTGGGTCCTTTTCATTTGTCCCCTCAAGTCTATTTTTTTAAATTTTTGTAAAATTTTACAATTGCTTCCACAATTTTATCTCATTTTATCATGTTCATAATCTTATGATGCAAAAATTATCATTTTCCAGATGAAGAACTGAGCCTCAGAAAGTGACTTTACTAGACCATGATGTTAGAGAAGCCTTGGGGTACTCTATCTTGCATCCTGCTACCTCTGAATATTAGCTTATTATTGTTTATTATTAATATTAATATATAAATATATATCTTTACACACATTTATTAACTACCTTTAGGGTAACAATTTTCAGTCTATGAGTTGCAACATTTTGGCAAATCTCTATCTCCAAAAATATATACATTGCAATTCATAATAGTTGCTAAGTTATAGTTATGAAGTGTTAAAAATAATGTTATGATTGGGGTCACCACAACATGAACTACATCAAATGGTCACAGCACTAAGAAGGTAGAGAACTGCTGAATGGGTTGGATTAGGCCATGTAGGTACTAGTATTTGTTATGTATCTGCTGTAAATCCTGAGACAATGAAGAAAAATCAATTCATGACCTACGTAAGTTTACTCCCTGAGCTGATTTTAAAAACCATGGCCTTTTTATGTAACCAGATATTTCTTCATTGGTACAACACAAGTGGTCTCTGTGGTTAGCCACAATGTTTACTCAATAATCTTCACAATCTTAAGGAGACTGTGGACAGTGTTATATGCCTGTGAGGCTGTCGGAGATGACTGCACTCCAAATTAAGGAAGTTTAAAAGACAAGGATGAGGAGGGTAAGAAGGAAAGGAAAGAGCGAGGAAGAGAGAGGGAACCCTGGAGAGGGAGGGAGGGAGGGATGAAGAGAAAGAAGTAGGAATAGTGTGCTAGTGAACACTTTTCATTTTTCCTTTCTGTTTGTTGAAATAACATTTCCGTGAGCCTTTATTGAGACAGGAAGATAGAGATGAAGTAGGTAGCTAGAAAGATGGGCGGGGGAGCATATATCCACTTAGAGACAGAAAGACAGAAAAACACTCTGAGTACTCTAGAGAGGCTACAGATATATTCTCCCCATGGCTGCTTCTCTAATAACTCATATCTCTTTATGGACATGCTAAGAAAAGGCAATAGAATAAATAAAATCTAAAAATGAGGAACAATTTGATTTATATCTATGTTTTCTATTGCTTTTTTATCCTCATGAGGACCCTGCTCAGCAGGACACCATTTCCCCCATGTTATAGGAAGTACAGAGAGATGTGGCATCAGCTAGATGAGAAAGTATTAAATCAGACCCAAGGTTTAACCTCTGCTCAATGATTGCCTGGGGGATCCCTGGGTCCTGGAAACACCTGAGACTATGTACAAAGAAGTCTTGAAAGTCTTTTTTTTTTTTCACAGTCACAAGGTGAAGAGTTCCCTGGCAGTGAAATCTTTAGGGCCTGCTATATGTATACACAACCTACTTTTTAATTTCAAATTACAAAATCCTTGATATCCGTTAATTTTAAACTCTTTGAGAACATCTGACTTTAACCTTCGAAGTAAGAATTGAGGACCTAGGCCGACAGCATCATTTTCTTCCCACCAGGAACCTCTGTGCTACATCGTTCATGCTTTCAAATGGACTGAGATAAAGGTGGCGAGTGGGTCATTTTCCAGTCTAGCCTTCTGTGAGCACGGAAACCAATTCAAGGATGCACTAAATCCTAAGCTTCGAGTTCAGCCGTGTGGGTGAAGCTGCCAGTCTTTATCTACCTGGAAGCAGGAAGGGCAAGCATCCGCACAGCCTCTGGATGTGCTGGGCTTTGCACTCCTTCAGACAGCTGTAGGTGTTGTAGGTGGGAAAGTTCCTCAGCTTGATGTCAGGTTTGCACTCTCCCCACGGGTGTTCCTGGTGGACTGTCTGCAGGTGACAGGACAGGACACAAGGCTAGGAGACAGAATTCAGTTGGCCCACATTTTCCATTAAAGGATGCTCTACACTTTGGCTCATCTCAGCATTTTTAAAATCTTTTTGATACACTATATCTACCCATTTTTCCACACTATTATCTTGAAAACCCCTGAGGGTCATTCTAACCTCGGCCTTTAAACCTTCACCCTAAATGTCAATGAAAACATCACATAGGCCAACCATTGTAAAAATGTATTCAAATAAGGAAAAAAATATTTATGCAAATGTGTTGCCGCCATATTACTCAGGTTGCTCACAAACCAACAACCAATAAGACAAAAATTAATTCCTTATTGAGAAAATGCTATTTAACATATAACAAACAAGCCCTTTGCTTTCTTTAGGTTACCTCATTTTTAAACATCTTGTGTCTGGAAACAAAAAGCTGTCCATTAGCCAGGAGGACAGGGAGTGGATGCAAATTTAAAATGTTAATTAAGGAAGCTCAAGAGTAAAGCTTGACATGTGGAAGCCTGCCTCATGACTTGTCTCCATGGCTGATGCTCTTTCACGTTTTGTATTTTTATTCTTTGCAGATGGCTTCAGAGAGGAAACATTTAGTTCTGAAGCTGACTTTGTGGCCCTTCAGATTGCTATCTGAAGTTACCTTGGATTTAATAGGCTTCCCCACACTCACTCAGGTTGTAGGTAGGAATCTACTGCCTTTTACCACAGAGGAACCTCCAGAGAAAGGAAAGGAAGCCGAAATGCGGTGTTGACCCTTCCAGCCTTTAGTTTAAAAGCACAGGAGAAAGGAGTCTCATGAAAAAGTTATTTGTGTGTTTAATGCAGCCGTTACCAGCTAATACTTTCTTCTCTCCACATCTCCCAAGTCCTCACCTTCAGTTGACGGATGGTCACCCGTGAGTGCATGCCCACAGGAGAAGACAGGCCTAAGCCATCAAACTGCGGCTCCTTCTTTGGTGAGTGAATGACAAAGATGATTCCGGCATCAACAAAACCAGGCAAGGGGTTATCAATAAATTCCTCCTGAAGGGGACGGACACACACACACACACACACACACACTAGTTATACAGGAGTTCAAGGTCTGGGATCATCAGCTCATGTTGTATTTGAATTCCTAAGGTCAGTTTTATCATATTGAGCTTCAATCTACTGTGTGAGAGGTGTGGAAATTTGGTAGCTAAGATACCTCTTTTTTCAGGCGGTGTCACAGAGAATTGCTCCTGAGTGTGTGCTCAAGTACACCCACCCATGTCAGTTGCTCCTGAATAAATCCACAAGCACAGGAGTGTCAGCTGATGACCTCACTTCCTGTTCATCTCATCTCCTAGGTGCCGATGATCTCACTTCCTCTGACCCTCTCACTTCCTTGGTTCCTTTCCTTACCTCTTTTCTCACTGCAGGTATCTTTGTAATTAAATCTTGTTTAAAATTCAAATGTCTTCTTCAGTAATTGTGAAAATCAATGCTATTACTTTAACAATTTTTTAAATATATACATCTATATCAGGTAAAGATATTAACACGTAAATTGCTAGTGATGCTACAGTTTCAGGACATAAGGAAAAGGCTGGATGTGGGCATATAAAGATTTTGTAGTGAATCAGTCCACTGTTGTGTATTTATCCTTGAGGAGCAAACTTTAAATTCCTGTCACTCTGAGGTCTGTTGTCTTGGACTTGCTAAAACCTTTTAAGAAGCATTGGCTATGTTCGTTTACAGAAATATCTAGGTGCCATTTGTTTATGGAACATTATATTACATTTGTAGGTTTTTAATCTTATTGAAGAAATATTTTGAATTTTCCACTGATAAAAATACATAATTAATGCATAAACTAACCCTAAGGCTATTATCTAAATAGTTTAAATATTGGTGAAGTATTTTCTGAATGCAGCATTGTGTTTGGGCATAAATAACAATGGTTTTGAGTGAGACACAGGAGGAAATTATGAAGATATTAACAGAAATTCTTTAAAAGCAGTCGTGACCTCATGCATGTTTATGGGGGATGCAGCAATTTGCTGTGATTCAAGATGAGGCCATCTTTCTCTGCCATTTATTGTTTCTCCTTGAATACTCTACCAGCATGGCAGAATACTAATCTACAGACCCTTGGTAGCAGAGGGCAGGTACAGGGGCTATTTATCTAGCACCTTTGGAGTAACAGCAATGCAATTCTTAGATGCTGGGACACCTGCCTCCTAAGTTCAAACTCAACTTCATTGGCCAATTATAAACAGCAAATACAAACAAAACAAACCAATGAACAATGGGGCTTAGGAAAAGGTATTTGTGGACTGCCCATGCATAGTAGGGTCTTTTCTCCTTTTCAGGGAACAATTCTATGATGAATCAATGTTTATATAGAGTTCTTCTTAAAACATTTTTCCATGTCCAGATGAAAATCCTACTACAATTGTGTTTTTGATAATATCATTAGCTGTATGCAAGGCACAATAGAACTTTCCATTTCTTCTCTTCACTGAATAAATGATCCCTTGAATCATAATAGGAAGTTCCAGAACAGCAAGCACTGTCTGTTTTTCTCCTGAAGCATCTGCTTTCTGAAGCTCTAAGACAACAGTAATCCACAGTTCAGGAGCAATTGGAACAAACTGTCAAAGGGTGAAATGAACTCAACCGGTGGAATTTGACAGAAAAATACTGTTACTAAAATGGAGTCCTGCGCACTTGCCCATTTTCAACCCAGACTGGAGAGAAATGCAGCAGATACCTGACGGACATCGAAGAGCAGCTTTAAACCTCTTCCGGACAAGCTCACTTTATTCTTGCTTTGGAAATTCTCACCATGGTTAAAAGTAAAGCAATTTCCGTATTCAGTAAAGACGTGTTTGAAATCCTCCAACACGAAAACAAACCAAATAGAACACAGGTCAGTGGAGAACTTTTCAATGCCCCCGAGTTCCCATCACTCCATCATCTTCTCTACTTGCAAATGCTTATTTGAGGATGTTTATGTAAAAAAAAAATTGATAGTCTGGCAATTTATGCATGTATTTGATTAACAGTTTACACGGTGTAATGAACATTTAAGTAAATTCATGTTATTTTTAAATGAGACATTTTCACATCTAATTAAGCCTTTTTTTAAAAAAAACAACTTAAAAGTAGCTTGTTTTATTTTTTTTTCAATTATTCACAGAAACATGTGTTTAGACTTTGGTGAAGGGTTTTCAACGCCCTCCTCTGACAAGTCACTGCTCTGTCCTGTGTTCTCCGTGGGGCAGTTACATTCCCTCCCCCATTGACCTCCTGTGATAACTGTTCCATCCTCCTCAGAGATGCGCATGCTGCCTAAGCAGGGATGCTCTGCACATCACAAGTGGCGTAGGAGCAGATGATGAGCCTCTCATTGGATCCTCACCTGGATTCTTGAGTGCTAAAGTGTCACTGTGAGAAAATTAATGGCAACTGAAGTTTTGGCTCTCTGTGGGGAGATGGCATACCAAAAGCAGGCAGGGAAAGTTATGGGACAGGGAAGCAGATTCAAAATAAGAAGGCTCATGGTACAGCATTTTCTAAAGACAGTCCCTGCTTTTATATTACCCAGTTACAAAACCAATTCATATGTTTTACTTCACAGATTGCTAGATTTGTGTTTCTGTAATGTATGTTATCACTAGGGAAAATTTTCTTAGGAGTGAATTTAAAGATATTAGTAAAAACAAAGCAAGGAAGACGAGCCCCTTTAGGTGAGCATTCAGGCCATCCCTGCTGCTCATCCTCATCCCTGTCCACACTCAGCAGTATTTACCGTGTGCCTCTCAGAATGCCGTTATGTTGTGGGGCTATGAATTTGATATTCGCTTTGAGTCTCTCACAGAATAAGGAACTGGAAATGTATGTAGGCAATACAGATCAGATTCCAGGCACACTGTGCTTAGTCTTAGGTGACTTGTATCAGTAATTGAAACAGAATTTTAGACGTGTTACACATGGATAGAAAGCACACTGCACATATTGTGCATGTGACATAGAATTCTTAGTGGAAGACTCGAAGACTCATTTCTGTGGACTCCCCTAAGGTGCCACTATCTTAAAAACACTGTGCTAGCTGCTTAAGGGGGACAGAAAAGCTTTCTTCAAATATGGTGTTGAAAGATAAGGAAAAGTTACAATAAACTATTGTGTTTTGTTCTTTTAACTTTGAAAAAAAAACTCTGCTTCAAAAAGGTCTTAAAACCTTTTGTCATCTATTATTTTCCCTAGCGTGTGTGCATGTGTGTGTTCACAAGTGTTGTGTGTGTGCACGAGTGATGTCTGTGTACATTTGTGTGTGTACATGCTACATACTCTCATGTGTGATGGCTAAGCACTGCTTTGAGTGCCCCAATCTGTCACTTTACACATTTTTTCCTGGACTTGTATTCAGCTCCCGCATGCCTCCTGCCTCTGCTGCCTCTGCTGCCTGCAAGCACACAGCACCACCAGACGTAAGGCTGCTGGATCTTAACTCAGATTGCCATGCCTTTACAGCAAGCAATGCTCTTACCCCCTTCAGCCATCTCTCCAACCCCTTATAAAACCTCTTGAAAGAAATTAGCCTCACACGGATCCCACATCTCTTGCTATTATAAAGCTGAAATTAGGAGAGCTAAGGAAATGTACTTATATAAACAGGCGGATTTCTCAAGACTATTTTATTTGAGCTTAGAACAGAATAAAACCATAGTCTACTATCTTGATTAGATTTGGATAAATAGTCAACCATTACCTTTGGACCGCAGGGTTTTCCAAAAAATTTACAGTGCAACAAAGTGTCCTGATTGAGATAAAAACCATTGTTCTTGACAAATTCTGTAATGCTGAAGTTTTGGTGACTTGCAACAAAATCTAAGGCCTCTGGAGAGTGAGTTTTGTTGGCACTAACTTCCTGAAGGCGGATGACTTTAGAAACTACATCCCATAAGAAGAAAATGATGCCAAATTTTGATACAGCCTCTGCTTGGAATCTATTTGTAGAAATGAAGGCATTGGTTAGAATGTAAAACAGCTTTCTCGAAGATAGAAACAAGGCAAAACTACATTCGTTAATGGTTATGTTTGTTAATTTTCACTGTACATCATCTTAGATTTTTATTTACATGCCTTTCATCCCTTCAAAATGCAGTCAATGATTTTTTAATTCAGTCTTATAAACCTTGAAGTGATCAGCTTTCGTCTCTTCTTGTCCTACAGCTCAGAATGCAATTGAGTGGTCCACTCTTGGTAGGGTCCATGTCATGCAGAACATGGTTTGCATGTCATTCTAGAATCTTATGTTCTAGACTTGGTCATTTCTTTGTGAAACTTAAATTTGCTTTAACTGATCTATCAAAGAATTTAGATATTATTATTAGAGAGATAATATGTGAATATATTGTGTAATGTTTAGGCAAGTTGAGCATGCCTGGGTTACCTTTGCTGAGCACATAATACTCTCCTACTCTATTCCCAATAAGAGCAAGAAGTTTTCAGTTTTAATGCTGAATATAAGGATGTTTTGTATGCACATACATGCCACAGCTTTGTTAGCCTTTCATCAACTGGTGAGAGGCACAGTTTTCACCCTGAATCAGCAGTCATTCTGCAGCTGTGGTACCCTGTAGAGGCCATGAGGCAATGCCTGTCATGGATTCTTCTCAAAATGACTAGACAGTGAAATTAAAGAACTAGACTTTCTGTAGGTGGCATATATATATGCCATGATTATTTCATAAAATAATTATGAAAATCTTCAGCTTAAAATATTGTCATAAAATATATTTGTTACACTAAGGAAAGTTGAGACCACACTAGTAGTTTCAGAACATTAAATGATAAAATAAAGCCTGGCACTATTAGAAATAAAAATGAAGTTTTCATGAGATATATTCACAGCATCAAAGTAAAAATGTCTTGCACTGAGTTTATTTTCAACCTTTAACACACACTTAAACTATTCTTTAAGTTGTTGCAGGCTGGGAGTATAGGTCAAAAAAAAGTGTTCTGGAAATTTGTGGGGAATTCTGCAATGATGACATTTAGCAGGAATCTGATACAGAGCTATTATAATTTACCAGATTAGTTCCAAATAAAAAGGCCATGAATAGGGAGCTCATTTTCCAGAATCTATTCTACAGCCTAATTTTTGTGACTCTGAGCCAAATATACCTTTATGAGATTAGTTCTTCTTGTCTGTACATGGCTTTCTGTAAAGAAACTTTTCAAAATTGAAGTTTGATTCAAAATGGATATTTTTAACAAACTAAGTGAAGCAGATTGGCAACTCCAATGGGCATCTATTAAACTTATATATGGAGACTATTTTGAGTGTGACATTGCATTTACTGAACACTAAAGTACTAAGAGACTGATATTGATGAAGTTGTTGACAACTTTGCATTACCCTTTAAATGGAAATACAGTGTTCTTATGAAATACTGCAACTGATAAGAATATATGTCCTTCAAAAACATAATAAAGCATTATATGATTTTTTCTTAAAATTTTATTTTTCTTCATCTTTAGCATTTTTAGACAGACATTATTTTCTTCTTAAAAACATGGCCATTAGTGGAAAGAACTGCGCCAGTAAGGTCAGGGTAGGGTAAGCCTGTGGCTTCAGTTCTAACCTACACACACACACACACACACACACACACACACACACACACACACACAGGTCCCATGGGAAATTATTAAAATTTTGATCCCTTCTTAGATATCATGAACTCTGTAGCACCATTTTTAGCTGCCAATCTCTACCAATAAGGTAGTTCGACACATGAGTGATTGAAGCATCCCCTCTGACGGCTTTCTTCCACCAGACACATGAGAATCAAAGAGCTGGACATCCACAGCACCTAAGTCACACTCATATTAAACCCCTGCCATATGAACTTGAGTGGAGATAACATCCTGGCAGCCCCAGCCTGAGTCTCCCAGGACACACTGGAAGTCCTGGCTGGGAGGTGAGGCTGTGTCTCATGGACATGGGTTGAGATAATATGTTGTCAGTCCGAATCTCCCAGGACACATGGGAAGCCCTGCCTGGGAGGTGAGGAATGGGAGCTTTGGATTTCCTGCCCAAATCTACCAGGAGGCAACTTTTGTAATGCTGAGATAATGGAGGGTGAGAAGGGAGACGCCCTGACTAGGTTGTGCAGACCTTCACTGGACAGAACTTGCACAGACATTCAGTGAGCAAACACCCCTGCCTGACGCATCACATGTCTCCTTAGGCCATATTTCCTACAGTGTAAATACTGTAACAGCTCAGTTTCTGAACGTGTTCCTTCCCACTAGTTACAGATGATTCTCTGGGAACAGTGACAGCACATCTCCTCATCTAGTCCCTCTGATGTCTCTGCTTTCAGTCAAGTGTCCCTGCAAACCAGCCTCGCCTTTGTCAGGTTTAAATATTGTGGTTTAAATATTGTGAGGCAATGAACATTGAGGAGGTTTTCTAACACAAGAACGCATAAATTGAAGCTTTGAAGTATTGCCGATCACCACACAAACCCCTTATAACATGCACAGTGTCTCCAACCCTTGTTCTAAACATTCCAATATATTATCATGCAAACATCCTATTTCCACGTATCATGCATTAGAACCCTTGTTAGTTCTCCCTCATCTCCTTGGAGGCTCCAGTTGCCTCTAAAACACTCCATGTAGAACGCCTGGGTATGTATCTATATTGTGTTCAGTGATTACTCAGTTACATAAGGGTTCTGCTCGCTCATTAGCATACTCAAGTTCAGAGAAACTCATTACATCGACTGAATCATAGAACTTGGAGCTTACCCAAGGAAAGACGGGGAAAGGGAAAATGCGACTGGATGAAGACATTAGCACAATTCTTTCTTATATTTGTACCTTAAGTTCAATTTAAAAATTTCAATGCTTTTACTTAGGTTAAATGCTGCATCCGAATTTATCATGTAAATTTTCAAAATAAATTTATACCAAAATTAAAAAAAAATCACAATTAAAACAACGAGTCTCACCTATTCAAGTTACAGAATGTCACAGCCGGGAACTCGATTTTTTCCACATACTGCACCTCTACAGATGTTGTGGTGGGCCATGTGAAGAAGTTGACCAAGCGACTATAGATTTGCCATACCACGAGTGAGACAGAGCCCAGCACCACAGACAGCCAGATCACCTTGCGAACCCTGTTCCGGTTCTGGGCAATGTTATGGATCCCATGAAAGGAAGTAGAGAGGGCAAACTCATGATCAAACTTCTTCCGGTCATCTGGAGATGGCAGTGGCCTCTTGGAGAGGTAATTCTTTATCTTTCCTAAGAGTCCTAATGCTCACAATATAATAAGACAAAAACAAGACCATGAGTTAGGAAAACTTAACACTATTCATAAACACTCCAATATACAAATGACGAAACAGGTTACCTCTATAACAAGCCATTCATAGAGGCCCCAGAATCATTGATATTGGATGACTTATTTAGGGGCAGTAAAAGTGCAGACTAGGTTAACCTGCTGGTAATCTAATGCCATCTGGAGACAGCTCTGGTGAGGGAAAAGACATTGGTGTCAGGCACATTAGGGTGTGTTGTTTGTGTGTGTTTGTGAGAGCTCACAACTTTTAAAAATAGCCCTCATTGTTAATTACTCTTTCTCCCTGGAGAATCACAGAGCTCCTTGGGATGGGTTAGGCTTATTCTCTGGAGAGTCATAAGTTACTACCCATCAGTTCCTCAGCTAATCTTTGTCAGCGTGTGGTGACTTTTGGTGTTGTGACTTTCATGTATTGTATGCTTTGTACCTCGACTGGCAAGTCAGGATGTTTACAGTTCAGTGCTATGACCAGCTTCCATGTTTTAGAATGTAGCCACCCAGAATTTCCCTTGGGTTAATATCGTTTTGACTTGGTGATAGGAGATGCAAAGCCTCTCTGACAGCTGAAGAGGATGAGGTCCATCTGCAATTGGAGGAGTCAACTGCTGGTTCTAGGTCTTCTCTCTTGTAACCTAGGCAACTTTAGGCAAGTTTCTCATTCTCCTGCTGTTTCTTCTATTAACCGACAGCAACAGCACCTGGCTGATGACTTTTCGTGTTAGTGTGATGCTTCTCACGGTGTATTACGCAGACAGCAAGACATAATCAACATTAATACTTTTATTTTTGTTTTTCTAGTAGTGATGCAGAAAATGGTTAAATATTCAGAGTTTTAAGAAATGATTTCGAGTTCTCATTTAAGAAATGAGTCCTTGGACAAGAGAGATTTTAGCTGGCTGTCTCTTAGTGGGTAAGGGTGCTTGCTAAGCAATCCTGATGACCCAAGTCATATCTTTGGAACCCACATAAAGGTGGAAGAAGAGAACTAAGTACACAGATTTTTCCTCTGATCTCTATATATGTGCAGTGGAACCCAGGTACCCATCCTGTATCTTACATACACACATATATATCTCAAAGAAAAAGATTCAATCTTCAAAGCTTTCTAAATTCTCATAATAAAGTTAGTTAAAATTTTAAATCTTTGCTCCAATTCAATAAATCTTTTTGCCAACTATCAAGTACTAATTTTTCCAAAAGGCTCTTACTTAACCCTAAGTTAGTTTTTAACACCTTGCTAGTCTCTAATCAGTGAGTTACAATTGTTTTCAGCTTGGAAGAATGATATAAATGGTATTTACACATTTTCTAAAGTCCCACATTTCACGCACAGTGCACAGACACTTGTTACAATGGCGAAGCTACTACAAGCTGTGTGGTCCTGTTTGCATCAATGCCAGTCACTGGAATTGCAACCTAACCTGTAACAGTATCAGGTGAGGTTTCTTTTAGCATCCGGTCACCCAGCACATAAAAACACCTGGAAGGGTAAAATCAGAAGGCCAAAAAAACCTTATTATCAAAATAACTTTAATTGTGAACATTTTTTAAAATCATTTCTTGGAGGCATTTATGAAGACTTTAGAATTGAAATATCACCAACGGCTGGGCAGCTTCCACCTTTCCTACTGATGTGATCTGGCTGTTGATGAGCAGAGTTAACCTAGTGGAAGCTCCCAGCCAGGCAAGTGAGGCCAGCTGCAAACACTGCCCCAAATGAGCCTTCAGGCTTGCCTTCAGACACCAGACCACTTCATAAAGACATACTTGCTGGGAGTTGTGTGAACCTTACTGTAGCATTTTCTGCTACTTATTAGAAACGCCCTAGTTTGTCAATGATGAAAAGTGAAACAACAGGGCAGCCCATGTCTGCCTAGGAGCCCACAGCCTGCAATGTGGCTCCACCAACCAACATGGCTGAGGCTTTGGACTTTCCTCACACAACTCTGCTCCATCCAGTGCACCTATGCAAATTCTGGGGTCCTGACCATCACTGAAACAGTTTAGGAACCCCAGACAAGCAAATACTGACAAGAAACAAACAGAAGTTGACTCTAGCATATAGCAAGATCTCCACATTACTTTGGAATCCTCATAAGCTGCTCTTTTGTTTCCAGAACAGTATTATTTATACTGAAACTCGTATCTGTTACTGTGAATACTGATGGGAGTCCCATTTTCCAAGTGATCAAACTTAAACCCCTCTCTGCTTATCACTGGTCTTGAGGGACGGAAGATGTAGTTGCTGGAGGATTTCCTACCTTTCTCAGCATGTGTCTTGGATTTCTCAGTGTATTCCATTTTTGCTCTCAGTGATCCCTAGCCCTCTGGGTGTATCCAATTTCTATCAATAACAATATTCATTTAGGGCCTTTTATATAAAACACTGCAGCTGAGGTTGTAAAATGTGGGAGTGATTTAAATATTTGTGTTGCTATGTTCTGCCTCATAAAGCACTTAATCTGGAAATTAAAAGTGATTGACAGAACCGGCCACGGGCATTTACAGACTGGCAAGAGCCGCTGGAGACTGGAAACAAGAAAGCGTCACTGAGAACCCATTTCCTAAAGAAGAAAAACTGCGGCCGCACGGGTGGGTGCTCAGGTGGTGGTTCCCCTCAGATTTTACTTCTAAGTTTCAGCTCTATACAAACCAAGTTGAGGGGTGTGTGTGTTTAGACATCTCTTTGCTTTGAAGTTCCTTTTGTAAGACAGAAAGCTGCTTTTAATAGAGCGACCAGTGGATAAAACTAAGATACTAACTAAAGGTAAAACACTAACTGAAAACTGCAAAATCACAGCTTTTTCATATTAGCACTTTTGAGAACTTATTTACTGTTGATAAAAACTTCAATATGAATTCGCATGTATAAATGCTGCCATCTGTTGACCACGTTCAGTAATTACATGCATCTCTACTTGAGTCTGTTGGTATTGTCATATTTCACAAACATCTATTCACTTCAACATAATTACGTTGGACATCTATTTGGAAACCCCATTAACTTAAGTTGAAACGGGGCTAGTATGGAGGCAGAATAAGAGCCCTCGGGTGATGGAAGGGTAGGGACTTGGGTACCCCTTCTCCATTCACTTCCGTGAGGATCAGGGTTTATCCTGTGACATGGATTCCTCAGAGAAATATCTCTTTTGAGGTTAAACTGCAGACTGGAATACAGTGAAGACTTCAGGTCCTCCTGACAGCAGCAATCCACTCCCTCTTCCCTTGTCTTCCGACCTAATTATTTCTACAATTTTTCCAAAAAATTGTAGAGCCGCCTGGTGTCTAAATACCTACTGGAGAACACCAAGGTGGCCTGCTTGCCAGATGCATGCCGATTGAGCTGCTGAAGGAGGCGTCCCCTGTTGCTAGGTAGGTTAGAAGGCTGGTTCTCACTGACTGAGAGTAAGAGCAGCCAAAAGATGGGGTTCCTGGGAAAGAAAAGCTTGGACCGGAAGAGGGAAAGAAAGCGCCGACAAGGTACATTCTGTCTTCTTCACAACCTGACCAAGGCTTAAGGGCGTCAACGCGACTTCGCTTAAACGCCACTTTCTAGTTCTTGTTTTCAGTCTGCTTGCTCTTTTCTAGATCAAAACGTATATTTCCCGGGGTGCCTTTGTGTAGAGACAGAAGAGGAAAGCTAAGTCCCCATGTCCTGCCTATTTTCAGTGGCAAACAAAGAGCAGGAAGCTGAGCTGTAGGACACAAATGTGTTTGGACTCGTGATCCTCCTACTTTCTCACACTGATAACGGTAATCCCCAACCTCTCTCAGACGTTAGAGATGGGCTTCCCAGCGTCCCTTCCTTCCGCAGTTTTTTGCCTCTTTTTTATTAGTGACTGAATTCAATTTGAACTTCAACTTCTGTCCAGTTATGGTCCCTTCTCCATTATCCCTTGCCTTCTTTTCTGAGATCAAATCCCAGGATCCTCCAAACATAGATATCCCTTGTTCTTTTGTTAACTGGTTTTGCTGACTTTCTAAGATATCTAAGGAAAGATAAACACAGAAGTTCACACTGCCTTTCTCTGGCTGTGACAGCCGTTTAGGATAGGGATCTGTGACAGAAGATAGATTTGCAAGCCTCCTTTACCTGACCCACCCCACTTTCGTATGCAAACATAAAGCTAGGCAATTATCCAGCAGCTAGGGAATCATCCTGCACAAACTAAAAGAGCAGAGTTATCATTACCTTCCCCCTGTGCTTGCAGCACCAGCCGCAAACGATGACTTATTAATACTGATAAATAAAAATGCTGGACAGGAGAGTAAACAGCAAACCTAGCTGACCTTTCACTGAGATTCTGGACTCGAGTGATAAATGAAATCAATAGGCACCGTCTAGAGGACTGTATTTACATATGCTGTTGCTTGTGCAGTTACTGAAGGATATTTTCATTAATTCTTTTCTTTGTGAAATATTGACACTTTAATAAAAAGTTTGGCTCTGTTGAGTTGCATGTGCAGCGTACTATTAAAACATCTCTGGTCCCTGCTCTTTTCTTCGACTGCGAGTGTTGGGAGGGGACCAAGGCCCTGCTCAAGTGGAGCCCTTGTTCAACTATGGAGTCCAACACGCTGCCCTTTTGCTCTGACTTTGCGATTTTGTTACGAATTTTATGTTTGATTTTTCTCCTTGAGAGAAGGTATGCCCAGACCTAGTGATGACTTTTCCTCCTCCTCTTCCCCCTCTTTATCCTCTCTCACCCTCTTCCTTTTTATATTTAGACCAGATATATAATTCTGGAAAATAAACCCCTAAATTACCATATGTTTAAGAGAAGTAATTTAATATTTTATTGGTTTTGGTTTGAAAGAAGATAAAATTGAAATGGACGGAACCAAGGTCTACTATCGGCTGCAAGTACAGGTGAGTTTTCCTTCCAGTACTGTTTGGTTTTCAGATTTGCAGGCATCACGTCCTGCTGATCTGGTTTCAGAGGGATCGCAAGCAACCTCCACTAGCCATGAACGCCCGCTGGGCTAGACTTGACCTAGTTCTAAGTTTCCACTCAGTCCCTAAACCATCCTTTATGTTACAGAACCCTTTTGTTGTCTTGTGAATCTTGTCTGAGATTTTCCCATGGATACAAAGCCTATGCAAATCGTTGTTTAGAGGAAACCCTGAAAACCATGGTACCCCATGAATCAGATATTTGCACTTGACATTGTAGTTTCAAAAGCTTCATTCAGCTTGTTTTGAGATAGGGGAATTTACTAGCTAAAGTGCAAATATAGGAGATACAGACGCCAAGAGACAAAGGAAATAACTTCAGTCCACAGAACCTGAGTCCCCTACAGTCGAAAGGCTAAATGCATTCTCAGGGGGTCTCTGACACTTCATTGTAGTACGGACCCACGTGAACCCACACACCAGCACCACGTTACATGCAACAAGGTTACATAAAGGTCATTTTTAATTAGGGTGACTAATTCTTTTAAAAGGTTGAGTTTCATGTTGGTACTAACTGTTCTTTTGATGGTGTGTTTAATATCGATGCAGACTGGTAATTTTCTTGTTTCAGAATTTAATGTTTTTGGTTAGATCCATCCCCCATGTCCTCAATTCCAATTCTTTTGGAACATAAATTTTGTCATTGTAACTAGGACTGGGCCAAAGTAAATACAGTCCTCACTATTTTTTTTTCTCCCAACTTAATGTATTTTTATAAGCCCACCAAGTTCGCTTAGCATTGCCAGTATGCCCACGAGTGTAGATCTGTCTATCAGAGCATGGGTCACCTATCAGGGATTGCATCCAAAAGAGAACTAACCCTCACTCATCCAGCAGCCACAAATTGCCAAGTTCCTCAGCTATGGGTAGGACTTCGGGAGCCCCTCCTTCCTCTATGTTGGAGACTTGGACTGGCTCGATCTTTTTCAGGTCTTGTGTTCACACTCATAATTTCCTGAAAGTTCATGTGTGCATTAAGTTTTCTTTTTATACTTAAAAAATATAAGCAAGTAGCACAAGCAAGAAGTAGTTAGTATGTCATATGTACTTGAAGCGAATCCACATATCTGAAGTGAAAACAATGTAGAGCGTGACCTCTGGATTCAAAAGCACACCACGTGGCCCACACCAGCCTCAGTCCTTTACCAGAGGAGGCAGACCAGAAATGGGGGAAGAGAATGAAAAGTCTATGAAGGACACTTAGCCCGCTTAGTTTGCTATCTATTGTGCTTATTAGAAAGATAGACAGCAGATAGATAGGCAGCCCTCTAAAAATCCTGCGTGGTTCACTAAGTGATTTGTCCCAGCCTTGTACTATCTTAATCTTCATGTCAGGAAAAAAATTCCTGTAAAATTTTCAATATCGTATTTTGAAAAATGGAACATAGTCAAATGGTTGAGACACTGGTTTTACACAGGCGTGGACTACAGGGACAGCGGAGTTAGCACACGGCAGGCTCACAGACTCTTCCTGTGGAGAAAAACCCGGAAGCTCTCACAAAGTAAGAGCTCCCAGATAAGAAGGTAGAGGATTTGAACACATTTTTGATAAACACAGCCAGACTCTGTCCTTTAAAGGAAATGGCCTAAGAAAAACAGCAGCAGTGTTGCTGGCTTCAGTCAAGAGGAATTGGGCGAAACTCAAACAGGTAAACTGGTCGTTGTCAGCAAAACAAGCTCAATGCCAGGACTTGTCTGAAGGTGGAGCTAAGACTCAGAAAAGCTGTGTACCCCCCACGCACACCCAGGTCCCTACTCTGTAGCTCTAAAGTGTACAACCCATGTGGTGCCCTCATTCCATCTCAACATATGACCCACTTTAAGTTTCTTGTAGACCACTGGCTATTATGAAGACTCACATATATTTGCCTTTATAGTTTTGAAACACCAATCTTCATTTTTCCTTTAGACTTTATTTATAGAGATGAAAGAGGGAGAAACTGGAACTGAAGAACAACTACGTTGTTATGATTTGTAATGAATTTCATACCAGTGTCTCCCAGGAATAAGGAATATATCCATATAAGCACAGAGGTAGGTCACCTTCAGAACTCAAGTGCACGAAACCAAACATGAAACACTTAGAACTTCTTAGAACACACAGCAGCAATTTGTTATGAAGGAGTTAAGTCTTAGAGCCGACCCTACTACTCCCTTTCCTTCTAATTCCCTATTTTATCCCCACACTTGAGTCTCCTTTTTCTTGACTTGCTGCAAATTCCCCTCATCAGGTAAAAACCTAGCTCTAACAAAGGAAGAGTTGCTTGTAGTAACTTCTAAGAACTCCCATGAATACAGTTCACGTCAGACTGTCAAACCCTTTGGAAAGATTTTGTCAGGCACTCTAGTTGTATACAGCACAATATAAAAAGGCCATCCATCGTTGGCCACTGTATTTTTGCTACTGTCTCTCCTGCATATCAGAGGAATTTGACCAGTGCTGGTCAATGTCATTGCCTGCTTTCTTTGAGTCCCTCTTAAATATTGTGTACAAGTCTCTTGAAATTCTTTTTGTTTTGTCAAGTCTCTAGAGAAAGGGGGTTGTGTAATGCTCTTTAATTGTGTTTGATTGGTGGGTATTAGTGTTTGGCGATGGGGCCACTAGTCGGTTCTTACTTTGGCATGCCAATAAAAATCTATAAGCCTTTGGTCTTAGAAATTATACAATGAGTATACAGATCTGTCTGCTTTTTACCTCAATGCATCACCTCCCTTGTTAGTTTTATCTTCACTCTGAGAATTATACACATTTATCTCTTAAGAATCAGAACATCCTTCAGGATGAATAGAATATACGGAGCTCATTCAAGATGAACAACCTTGGTTGAAGCCCTATTATTTAGCAATTTATGTTCAAATGATCTACAGTCTCTCCAAATAGAACTTTATAATATACAAGTTATCTAATCCAGGATTCAAGTAGGGATCATCGATTGCCGTTTTCACTCGGATGTAGTAGTCTCTAATTCAAACGTGATCTGAAGCCATTCTTTACCTTGTTTTGTTGCTATTTATTTTCGAAACCTCCTGTTAGATGCTTTGCATAGCACGTCATCAATCAGGATTTTCCAATCTGTTTAATTGTAGGTTAAGGTCAAACATCCGTGGTAGGAGCCACACAGGTCTCGCTTCACACGACATCATGGAGAGAAGCCCCAAGGTTCCAGTGTCTTCTGTATTTGGTGACTGCACCGTCTTCCATTGAATGGAATATTCAAGGTTTTCCTTTGTGGGTGTATCTTTTCCTTCCAAAAATTAGCAAGCCAACTGCAGAGGCAGCTATTTAAGAAAAAGACTATCTCTCTTCAAATCTTTTTATGCCATGGCTTTAAGAAAAGCCAATGAACCTTGTTGGAAGAATGATTCCTATGTTTAGAGAAGGATAGTATTTGATTCCTATCACGCTTCCTATATTTGTTGACTGGTATCCTCTGATAATGAAGAGGTTGAAGAGATTTAATTTCTGTTCCCCCAGATTAAAACATGATTGTAATTTGCAAATTCATGGGCTGTTTAATAATTTTATACCTTATCATATTGACAGCTATTACATAAAAAGTTATTTAAATTTGCATTTTTCTGAGAAAAACTAATTAAAATAAGCTTGCTGTATACTTTTCCATTAAATGTGCTGCAAAACCTTCCATGGAAGAGCAATTCTTTTGAGAATTTAGATTTATAATATTTGGATATTAGCCAAAACCAGGATCCTTAAACTGCAGGAAAGGAGTCAGCTCGTGAACGTTTAACCTTCATTTGTCAGAGTGTTTATGAGGGGTGGGGCAATGCCTGATTTCTGGATGTTCCTTTAAATAACTCAATAACTTTATTCGTGTTTTCGTTATACATTTTATAGTTCTAGTTTTATATAAGACATATCAAAAACAACACTTCTATACTTTGTGAGTCATAAGGAAAAGGTGAATACCATAATTTCCTCTTATTTTATTTTATGTCTGTTCTGTGATTGTAGCTAGCAGGATGCTGAACTTGTTTACGAACAGAATGCTGATTTTTGTTTACATACACCGATCGAAGAAAATGCCCATACTTATAATCCTATATGTCAAAAGCAGCTGACATTTGTGCTATACACAGGAGCAATGCAGATAGAAAAACGTTGTGTGTCAGTGACATCATCATTAGCATTAGTTAAATGCACCATGGGCATGTCTTTCTTATGTGAGCTTTTGTAAAGCCCACCCCTAGTCACTGTGCTCAGTCTTCTGAGAGCAAAAGGCACTTGGGAGAATGCTGATGGGCTCCTTAGCCATCTGTCCACGGTGACCTGCTATTGGCTCAGCCTGCGGGAGGGTCCTGTTTGTCACACATTTACACCCTGGCCAGGAAGGACACAGTTGCCCTTATAAACTAGGAGGTATTTCATGCACAGCTATCAAAAATGTCCCTGTCATTGGTCAACAGAGGGGGCAGGATTCCAGTAATGCTTAACTTGCAAGCCCGTGAAGCTGCCAAGTGATGTGTCCATACAGCGTATGACACAGCGGGTCAAGGTTACCGGAAGGAGATTTCTCCGAATATTCACACTGAAATTTTATGTTCCTTTCTGTTTTCTCAATTCTGCACTCTTAGTTCTGTGCACTAGAACATCTTGGTAACAGTTGCCTGCATTCCAACGCCCTAGAACAACAAAAAAATTGCTGTTATGTAGCCTATTTGGACATCCTAATGGGGATTATAAATTGTATGCTTAATGCTTCTTTTACAAAACAAAACTGAAGATGACAAAACCAGGAACAAAGACAACTGAAAGATTGCAAAATAAAAACTAGAAAATCACATGGAAGACTGTACACTACAGTTTATGAAGTTCTGTCATGTGGACTTTGCATACCACTGTGGAATAAGTAGAGTCTCCAGAAACAAAACAAAAATCTATGTGTCTTCAAAAGCTCAGAATGAGATCCCATTTGGGAGGGCTTCTGCAAGATAATTCTTAAAGGGTGTTATAATAAGATACTTGCGGATTTAGGACAGTCCCAAATCCAAACACTGGAGTCCTTATGAGGGGCAGAAAAGGAGACAATGTGAACACCAGGACAAAGAGAAGGAAAGGCAGTAGAGATAGAAACAGACATGGAGATTGAAGCTGTCTGGCTAAAGGGCATAAGAACTGTCTGAGGCTGGTGGAATCATGTTATAAAACGCCTTCTTTAAGCTCACTTAAGGTAAGAAAACTGAAAATAGGAGCTGGAAAGCTGGTTCCGTGGTTAAGAGTATCAGAGTTCGAGTCCCAGCACCCATGTCAGCCAGTTCACACTGACTGTATTTCCTGCTTCATGGGTCTGATGCAGAAATCTATGCATACAGCATTAAGGGTTAAAACCCCAAAGTCCACCTCCAGTACCACAGCCTCAATGAAGACACACCTGCTAATCCTGCTCACATCATTCTAGCGATTGGAATTAAGGCACCCAAATATATTAGTCTATAGTGGTTATTCTCACACGACCTCATTCTACTACTCCCTGGTTGTCATAGGCTCCCTAGCCGTGTCGTAAAACAAAACACATTTATTTCAACTTCAAAAGTCACCATAATATTTCAGTCTCAACATAGTTTAAAAGTTCCAAGTCTCTTCTAAAACTCAAGACAATCTCTTAATTGTAACCCCTTATAGGATCAAACAGCAGATTACATATTTCCAACGTAAAATACGCATTCTCCTTTCAAAAGATAATGGGGAGCAGTGGGGAAACGCTGGACCGTGGTATGACCAAATTAGAGGGGCTCACATCCAAACACGTAGTTCCATGACTGGTATCAAATGGCTTTAATGGCTGGTTCCACTCCTTGTCGGCAGCTTTTCCTGACTTCCTACAGCTTTGAAACCTCCAACATCCTGGGGTCTCCAACAAAACATAGGCTTCACTGTCACAGATTCAGACAGCATCCTCTCAGGGACCACCTGCCACATGCCTGACTTCAGTGGCTCTCCATAACCACAGAGGAAGATGCCACAAACCCTTTACTTGTACATTTTTCATGATTCTAAAGCCAGAAGCATAAGACTGATGTTGCACCTGACTGATTATTGCAAAAATGTTGCAATATTTGACTGGCCATTGTTGGATGGAACATGACCCTTCCTTGAATTACATTTGCATAATGTTTGCTTCATCATTGTTTAGTAACATAATTCCCCAGGTATTTACTTCTCGTAAGCTAGAAACGTGGCTGAGTGTAGTCTTACCCTTACGGCACCCTTCCCTTATTCCACCTTACTTCAAGTTTCTTACCTCATTCAGCACAAGCCTTGATTCCAGAATTAAATTTAAGATCATTTATTTGACATGTAAAGTGAGAAAATAGTTATTTAAAAATAATAAATAATATAAAGATCCTTTCTTCTCAAACTGTGCCATCCCCCCCACCCCAGCATGCTCCCTTCCACTACAGACTTACATAAGAGTGATTACTAATAACCAAAAGACAGAATCAATATCAGGCTATCTTTAAAATTCCCTTTGCCAGTGAAATTAGTCCAAAGCTTTTTAATTTGACTTCAGGCAGATTTTAGGAACAAGGGCAGAGAGCAGTCACATCCTTTGCCAAAATACCACAAGAATGGTCTTTAGCTCAGCTGCTAGTTCCTCTCCCAAACCTCTTGAGCTGAGCGTCTGTAGTATACGTTATTCTCAGAGCCACTGCCTACCAGGCTCCTGCTATAGCGTAGTCCACTAAACCCACTTAAACCACTCAACTGTTTTCCTAGTCCGAAGGTTCATGTTTCTCCCAGAACCAGCACGGTAAAATTTAACACACCAACAGCCCAGCTCTCTCAGATGCTCTTCAGTCACGGTGGGAAAAGAACAGAATCAAGGCAGCTAACTGAAATAAAACTTCCCTTGGGGGCTCACAGTGGCCGAGTCCATCACTATTTTCGCAGTGAGCGTGGCGGTAGTCAGCAGGGATGGTGCTGGGGCAGTCGCTGAGAGCTCATATCTTCATCCAGAAGCAGAAGGCAGAGAACACTAACTAGAAACTGTGTGGACTTTAAAACCTCAAAGCACAACCCCCTCCAACAAGGCCACAAATCCTAATCCTTCAAGATCTGGCAACTCTGGAGACTAAGAGTTCAAATATACGAATCTATGGAGGCCCTTCTCATTCAAACTACAACAAGAAGCTTGGCAGTGCTTGTGAATCGCTCTCCAGAGGGATGTTGTTGCTCCTGAGTGATGTAATACAATAGCATTGGCATGTAAAATACAATCAATAAAAGCTTTTACAATCTAGAGAGACAATATATTCATAATCTAGCCACACTTTCACAACTTTTCTGATCAAGTAGACATGAGGAAAGTCAGCGAGATTGTTGAGCAGAGTTGTATGTTTGTTTGCTCTGGTTTTGTTTTGCTTTTTAACATAAGGTCTCATGATGTCGCCAGGTCTTTCTTGGACCTGTGGGACTCCTCCTGACCCTGCTTCCCCAGTTCTGGGATTACAAGAACATATCATACTTGGGAGTCTGAGTAGCTCACGGTGCAGTGTTCAAAGGGTAGAGTTGAGAGGATGGTCTGTAGGCACAGTAGAGAGCAGGACACTGAAGTACGTACGCGTATCTTACTACAAATATGGGAAAACGCCATGACCAAAAGTAACTTGGGAAGAAAAGGGTTCATTTTCTCTTCTCCAGCAGGCAGCAGTGGCTCGTACCTACCAATCTAAACTCCTTAGTCTGAAGTCTTTAAAGAAAATGGTTTAGTTTTGACCAGTTTGCTCACAGAGAAGACAGTGTCCAAACAATTTCAGAATACCTTTGTTGCTGTGTGACGTTTTACTCTTTTGGATTTGGCAGCGGGAGGGGCTCTACCACCCAGTTCCCAAATAAACCACACATAGAGGCTTATTCCTAGTTATGGATGCCCTGTCTTAGCTTGGCTTGTATTTTTTTTTTGCCAGCTTTCCTCAACCTAAAATATCCCAACTACCTTTGCCTCTGGGTTTTTATCTTTCTCTATTTCTATATGCCTTTCTTTCCTTCTTACTCTGTGACTGGGTGGCTGGCCCCCCAATGTCCTCCTCTCCTTGTTCTTTTTCTCTCTTCCCAAGTTTCGCCTTTTATTTATCTTCTCTGCCTGCCAGCCCTGCCAATCCTTGCTACTGCCTCACCATTGGCCGTTCAGCTCTTTATTAGAACCAGCAGGTGTTTTAGACAGGCCAGGAGTCACAGCTTTACAGAGTTAAACAAATACAACATAAACAAAACTCACACAGTTTAAAATCATATTCCCCAACACTATAAAAATGTGTTTGCATAATCTTTGAAGGTCTCTTCATTCCAGTAGTGCTATAAACATTCTGCTGTGTTTCACATTGTACGTATGTTCTGTGACCCATAGGGCTTAGGAAAATAGACATGTGAAACATATATTAGATTGCCTACGCAGAAGGAGAGGCTCAAATTTAAATGACTCTTGTTGGAAAGTGCCAAGGAATCTGTCAAGTAACTAGTACGTAGAATACACTTTGGAAAGTCCTGGGCTGGAAACACTGACCACTGCCTGTTCTCACCAAACCTTAACAGCTCATTTGTGGATTTACATTTGCTGGAACTGACATGGTAAAACAAGGTGAAAGGCAAAGAAACATTGTGATTTGCCTGAGAAGTATCGGTTCACAAGCTTGGGTGTTTGAATCCTGGGTCCCAGTAGGTAGTACTGTTTGGAGAGGTTACACAACATTTAGGACATAAAACCTTCCTCGGAGGAAGGATGTCACCAGAAGCAGGTTTTAGATGATAGTGGCTTCTCCCACTTCCAGTGTGTATGCCCGCCCCACCTCATCCCATCTCTGCCTGCATGTGTGTTGAGATGGGATTCCTTGGCTTCCTTCTGCTTCTTCTCCCACATCTTCCCCACCATTATGGACATCTAGCTCTCTAGAAAGGTAAATCAAATTAAACTAAGTTTCCTTTAATCATAGTACTGTAGTGGGCTACTGCACTATAGTTATGCTTGTTCATAAATGTTTATTCCTAAGAATACTTTAAGTGTTAAACAATCTTGGGTAAAACTGGTCTGTGAACCAGCCCTAAATTCCTATACAATGTGACCTCTGCTAAAGGTTAACTGTCTGACAATTTAACTGCTGTCTCTTTAAACATTGCTTGCTGCAGACGTCCAGAGCTGCCTTTCTGTATATGTTACAATTGCCTTCTCTTTCCCTTAAAAACCCAAGCCAACCGGAGGAAGTCCAAGATGTTTCCCACTAATCTGCTTGGGACCATCCTGCCAGCAGTTAATAGACTTCATTTGACTTCTTCAGGCCTCTTGGGAGTTTTCCCCTTCAAGTACTTCATAACAGAACTTTGACATCAACAACAGCAAAGTGAATAATACAACTGCGCACTAGTAACTACTGATTGGTGATAGAGTGTTGCAATTTTTTATCCCAAGAGGCAAGAGAAAAAGTGGGCTAAGAACTTTCACTGGAGTCTCTCGTGTTAGAGGAAGAAGGAACTTGAGTTTGTTGGATGTAGTTTCTTTTACGGCTCTGATAGAGCAAACCCAGTTTCTTAAGATACTGTGGTGCAGTGCACCACGCCTGTCTGCACTCTATGGCTTCTATACAGTTCATGAACCAGGGAAGAGGCTGGAGATTGAAACACACAAAGACAGACAGAGACACAGGTCATCCATGATGCCAGAATGCTTCCCCTAGAATGCCCCCTCTATTGTGTCCAGCGGCAGCTTATATAGCAGTCAAACCCACCAGAAACCACTCCCCTGCCATCAGGAACTCCCGAGGGTCTCGTGCTCAGAGCAGCTGTAGGCACTCAGATCAGGGGAAAACAAGTTGTTTACAAGAAATTCAGGATCTGGGGATTCACAGTTTCCAACACTGTGGTGTGATTCAAAATGAGAAGGGCACCTTAAAAGTTTCCTTGATTTTTAAGCCTTGATTGCAATGTTTCTGCCATGATGTACCTTTTCTGTGGAACCCCTGTCACCTCAGGAAGTGTCTGCTCCTCGGCTTCATCCTGCAGATGCTCGCTTTGCTGTATCTTTGCCTCCACTGTGTTTTCCTATCTCAGAGTGAAATCTGGTGTTTGCATTGCGTTCAACGTACACTCAGAATTGCTCCTGACTGTTTACCCTGTTTGGCTGTTCTTTGTATCAATTATCTGACAACTTGTTAAAAGTACACAGGAATGGCCATGGGCATGCCTCTGAGTAAATACACTTGTTATCAAGGATAGCCATCTGAATTCTCTACCTGGGGCCCACATGGTAGAAGGAAGAAACAAACTTCCAGAAAATGTCCTTTGACAACATAAAATAAGTAAATGAAGACTATGTTAAAACTCCATCCACTTAATGTTTTTTTTTAGAAAAAAACTACTTCTGAAAACCCAGGGGATTGACGTTAAGAACAGAGGTCACATTAAGTCAAAATATTTTAGGAAACTCTTTGAATTTCTCTAACAAACATACGTAGGATAACAAAATAAGTACAGGAATGCTAGATTCCAGAGCACTGCCTCCCATAAATAATCAACCATTAAAGTAATTCATATCCTCTCCAAATTTAGTGAAACAAATGTTTAAAAAATAATTATAGACAAAATTTCATTGAAAGTGTTGAATATTTGATTTGATAATTATTATGCAGCTCAATCTCTGCAAATCAGCATCCTCAGAGTTAGAAGCAAACACATCTTCTAATCAGACTCACTGACTCTAGAAATCCTACCTAAATCCAAAGGTTCCTCTAGAGGACGGCTCGCACCATGGCTGGGAAAGAAAGTGCTGGGATGGATGTCACTTCTGTCAGAGGTAGGGGAGAAAGCCAGGGTTGAATGAAGGTATTGGGCAACTGGAATTAGCTAATCATTTTTGTTGCTGTTGTTGCTTTTCTGATGCTAAATTAAAATGCAATGACTAAAGCAATTTGAGGGGAAATGGGTTCATTTTTACCCTCAGAGGTGAGAAGGTCAAGGCATCAGGTTATTGCTGGAAAACAAGCGGTCACATTGTGCTGTCGGCATTAAGAGAACATGCTGGCGTTCAGCTCCCTTCCTCCTCTACTGCTAGCTCCAGCATCCCCTACCTAGGGAAATGGTGCCGCTCACACTGGCAAAGTCTTCTCACCTCAGTTAATACAATCGATATAATATCCTATAGAGATACCCAGGGACCAGCCTCCTAGGTGATAATAAGGTCTGTCAACTTGATAATGAACATTTACCATCATTTTGTCTTATTGAGAATCTCAGAGATACTGTAATGTTTTATTTTAGGGGTAAGAGAAAAGAAAATTTCATGTAATCAGAATTACTTTTAAAGCAGATTCATACTATCATGCACCTTAGGACCTGAAGTAAAAGAAATACTTTGAAAATATTTATATACTGCATCTTTTTAAAATAATTTTATTTATTTATTTTATATTTCAGCCAGATTCCTCTCCCTCCTCTCTTCCCAGTCCTTCCCCTCCACCCGGCTCTGTTCTCACCCCTCAATCCTCTCCTCATCTGTTTCTGTTTAGGAAAGGGCAGGTATCCCATGAGTATCAACAAAACATGATCTATGAAGTTGTAGTAAGATTAAGCTCCTCCCCATGTGTTAGACTGGGCAAGGTGACCAAGGATGAGGAGTAGAGTTCTAAGAGCCAGCAAAAGAATCAGATAGTTCCTGCTCCAACTGTTAGGAGTCCCACAAGAGGATCAAGTCACACAACTGTAACATATGCAGAGGACCTAGGTCAGTCCCATGCAGGCTCCCTGGCTGACGGTTCAGTCTCTGTGAGTCCCCATGAGCCCAGTTTAGTTGATTCTGTGGGTTTTCTTGTGGTGTTCTCGACCCCTCTGGCTCTTGCAATCCTTTCTTCCCCTCTTCTGTAGGACTCAGCAACTTCACCTAATGTTTGGCAATGGGTCTATGTCTGCTTCTATCAGTTGCTGGATGAAGCCTCTCTGATGACCACTGGCACCCACTTGGGCACAGGAGATGGCCAGTTCAGCCTACATAGCTGCTGGGAGCCTTAGCTGGGGTCATCGCTTGAAGATTCCTGTGTGATTCCCTTGCTCCAGGTTTTTACCTGAGCCCAAACTGCATCCCCCTTTCCAGTGATCTCCTTCAGTCGGCTGTTGTTTTGTCCCAATGGTTCTTTCCCTAAAGACACACTTCAATTTCATGCGGTCCCACTTATTAATTGTCTATCTTAGTACCTGTGCTTTGGGTGTTCTGTTCAGGAAGCTGTCTCCTGTACCAATGTATTCAAGATTATTTTCGGTTTTCTCGTCTGTCAGGATCAGTGTATCTGGATTGATTTGATCCACTTGGACTTGAGTTTTGTGGGAGTGATAGACAGGATCTATTTCCTTTCTTCTACATGCCGATGCCCAGTTAGATCAGCACCATTTGTTGAAGATGCTTTATTCCATTGCATATTTTTTGGCTTGTCAAAAAACAAGTATCCACAGGTGTGTGAGTTCATGTCTGCATCTTCAGTTTGATTCTATTGATCTACCTATCTGATTTTTTTTTCCCAGTACCTTGTGGTTCTCACTACCATAGCTCTGTAGAAGAGCTTGAAATCAAGGATGGTGATATATCCAGAAGTTCTTTTATTGTACAGGATTGTTTTAGTAATCCTGTTTTCGTTTGTTTGTTTGTTTGTTGTGGTGTCTGCTTTGTCCCACAAAGAAAACACCACACTTGACTCTTCCCAATGCAGTTTAATCAGGAACATTGAATAATCTTCAGACACTGGGGAAAGCAAGCCCACAGCTAATATACCCTCTGGGTAGCCAACTCCAGCAAGCCACATGGGAAATGTGGATAGGCCCAGGTACACAGAAGCAAGCCAGAACCTTAGCTTTAGCCATGTATGGAATTATTTACAACTGAGAGCCCTCACCATTCGGGGTGTGAAAGGCAGAAGCCAGCGCCATCTTTAAGGTGCAGCACAAAGCAGCTCACTACAGTTCCCCCTTTTTGTTTTTGACGCCACAGGTAAGAGTAGAGGCCTGCTCTCCGTGAAACAAGAGCCTTGTACTGATCCTCCTTAGGTGTATTCCATGCAAAGAGTGCCAGACTGGCTCGATGCCATTTTTCAGAGGTGGGATCTTGGGCATCAACCCACATGCAGCTAGGCATGCTCTTCTCAAGGTTAGCAAAAGCTGTCCTTGAGTGCAGTGCCTTGCCTCGTGTAGGGAGCCACCAGGATGTCGCCTTGGCGAGATAGTCCTACAGCCTGGAGGTATACAAATCCTTTGATGTTGCCACACAGGCCAGAGTGTGCTTGGAGCCTTGTTTTACCTGTCCTGTGGCCTTGGGCCCTAGCAGAATGGCATCAACCAATCAGCATTCAAGCCTCTCCACTGTTTAAAAGCAGCTGCCTCTGGGCTCTGCTTCCTCTCTGGCCTTTTCTTCCTCTCTGACCTTTTCTCTCTAGGTTCTCTAGGCGCTCTCTCTGGCTAATCTTTCTCTTGTCCCTGCGTTCTCTCATCTTTCTCTCTCTAAGCTCTCTGGCTAATCTTTCTCTCGTCCCTGCACTTTCTCTTCCCTTCCCCCAATTTTCCTCAATCAAGTGCTCCGAATAAAGACGTGATCAGGGAAGGAATTCTCGTTTTCGTGGCGTTCATTCCTGCTGGTCAGGAAGCGCGCCGCAGCCTCTCACCCTGGATGCATCAAATTATCATTTCATGGTGGCTAACCATGCTTGGGGGGATTGTCCAGCCTTTATGGCTGTAAAGGCTTGAATAATCATGACTGCATTGCGTTGTTGAGGAAACCTGATCTTGCATATATACCACAGGCAAACCAGGGAGACCAACACCAAGAGGCCAACTAACGCTCCCAAGCCCGTCCATTCCTTCAGATGATTCATGGCTGTGGAGATCCAGGACGAGAGTCCTTCAGCCATGCCAGCATCCACTTGGGTAGAATTCACGGTAACGATGGCCACCCTCAGCTGCTCCATCACGGCACCAAATTCTCCAGTCCAATTACCTAAAAGATAACTAGACAACTGTTTAGACAAATTTGCAGCATGGGCAATGTTCTCATATTGTATGCTAGTCATGGCATGGGGAGCATCCACAGGCACAGGCATGATGCTCCTCATGTTGAACTCTTCTAATCAAATGCTCTGGCACCCACACCGGATCTTGTTGGTCCTGTGGGAAAACACAAGCAGAGCCTCGTGCCCATGTTAGCACGGGATCAGGCCCATACCAGAGCCCTGTCAAAATATCCTTCCACTTGATCATCCCTTTAGCAGGGACATGAGGGTCCTGATATCTATCAGCTGCAGAATGACCTTGAGCATCCAAATTTAAAAAAATTAATGGTCTTTCTTTCAGGGTCTGGCCGTGGCCTATTCCCCCTTTTTGTTTTTGTAGACATTTTTTTTAGTGTGTGATGCGCACGTTCCACAATGCCTTGTCCTTGAGGATTATAAGGCAATCCATGAATAAGCTGCACCTCCATTTGTAGACAAAAGGAGGCAAACATTTGACCTCCATAAGCTGGTCCATTGTCAGTCTTTAATTGTTGAGGCTTGCCCCAAGCAGCCCAAGCTTCCAGGCAATGGGCAATGACATTGCGTGCCTTTTCTCCAGTCAGAGGCGTGGTGTGTATTACGCCTGAACAGGTGTCCACAGACACATGTACATACATATTCCAAACTCAAATATATGTGTCACATCCATTTGCCAGATTTTTAGAGGGAGTAAACCCCATGGATTTACTCCAATACTGGGTGGATGTTGATGAGTCACACATTGAGAGAAATCTAAAATTACTTGTCGAGCATCTGCTCGAGAGAGATGAAATTTTTGTTGTAATGCTTTAGCATTAACATGAAAAGCTCTTGCCTTTTCCAAGGTAGAACTCATGAATATACATTCCATCCTAGTCCACTGATCAACTATATCATTTCCTTCACTCAAGGGTCCTGGCAGACCCGTATGGGTTCTAACATGCTGAATGTAAAAGCAATTTCTTCTCTGCCAAATTATATGTTGCAATTGTTGAAATAAAAGGCACACTGGACTGGAACTTTTAATAGGTCCAGCTACTTCTAAAATTCTAAGGGCATTAACAACATAGATGGAATCTAATATTAGATCAAATGCAAAAGGGCAAGCTTTAAAGACTTCAATCACAATTTGTAATTCTATAACCTGAGGAGAGCCAGGTTGAAACTGATGCATCACAGGTTCTTGTTTATCTATCATATACACCCCACAGCCTGTAAATACATTTGGGGCCATGGAAATAGGCTGCGATGATGTTATTTTAGGAAATATTACAGGATGCTCCTTAAAAAATCCCAACAATGGATGTCTGGGATAATGATTATCTATGTTGCCATCAAAACCACACTGCGAAATAGCCCAATCATCTATTGTAGCAGACAAGATCTTGACTTGATGGCTGGAATAAGACACTATAATGGTGGTGGGGTCAGTCCCAAAGTATTGTAAACACTGTTGAATCCCGTTCAGGGCTAAAGTTGCCACAGCAGTAGGATAATGCTCAAGAGATTTGGCTGGAGATATTTTGGGATAAATCCAAAGCAATGGCCCGTTTTGCCATAACAGTCCTGTAGGCTGGTGATATGAAGGAAGAATGCACAAGACAATGTCTTGGCCTTCTTGAATCCTCTGTAAAAAGGCATCTTGTAACTACTTTCAACCTTTCTCAATGCCTCTCATGCCTCATTAGTCAGTTGCCTCGGAGAGTTCAAAGCGGAATCTCCACTTAAAACATTATACAAGGGTTTTAACTCATAATTTGGCAACTTCAAATAGCATCTAAGCCAATTTATATCGCCTAACAATTTTTGAAAATCATTCAAGGTCTTTAAATTATCTTTTCTCAGTTCTACCTTTTGTGGAACAAAAATTCATGAATTCACATGAATTCATGCTTCTAGATATTGACAATCTTATCTTTTTGTACCTTTTCAGGGGCTATAGAAATCCCTTCTTTTCAAGCAATTTAACTGACTCCACCTAGGCCTGGTCCAGCATTTGTTCGCCTTTAGCAGCCAACAATATGTCATCCATATAATGAACACATCTCAGAGCGGGGAATCTCTCTCTCAATGGTGCAATAGCCTCTCCTACATACAGCTGGCACATAGTAGCGATATTGCTCATACCCTGTGGCAAGACGGCCCGCTCATATCTTTTATCTGGTTCTTCATGATGGAGCAGTAAAGGCAAAACTTTCATTATCCTTGTGAAACAAGGGAATGGAGAAAAAACAATCTTTCAAATCAATCACCATGACAGGCCAGGAAGCAGGTAGGGAAGACAGCAGAGGCAGCCTACGTTGTACGGGCCCCATAAGCTGCATTTGACTATTAACGGCCCGCAAGTCATGCAATAGTCGCCACTTCCCTGATTTTTTCTTAATCACAAAAATAGGGGTGTTCCAAGGGGAGATGGATGGCTTGATGTGGTCCAGGGCCAAGTGTTCTGTTACCAACTCATTTGCGGCTGTTAATTTTTCAGAGGAGAGAGGCCACTGAGGAACCCATACTGGCTCCTCCGTTTTCCATGTGATGGGAATTCCCTCCCCAGTGGCCCCTAGGAAAAACCCAGGCCCTGCTTAGAAGGGTATTGCTGTACGGATATAGGGTCTTTCTGTCCCTGCAGTCTTTTTCCCAATCCAAAATTTGGATGATAGCCCATCTTTGTCATCATCTGTTGTGAAGCTGGGGAATACTCATTACTGAGTTTAAATCCCATGTCTTTCAGCAGATCCCTCCCCCACAGGGAAATGGGGAGCTCTAGAACATAAGGCTGAATACTCCCTGAATGTCCTTCATCATTGCTCCATTGCAACTGTCTAGCACTCATATCTGGGGCTTTTGCATAACCCAGGCCTTGTAAGGTTTGAGAGGAAGCTTGCATCAGCCATCCTGATGGCCAATCCTTCTTGGCTATGATGCTTTTATCAGCACCTGTATCCAACAGGCCAAGAATGCATTTTCCATCTACTTTAAGCATTAAAACTGGCCGTTGGTCCAAGTCAAGGGACAAAAAGGTTAAGTCCGTGCCTGAGGAGCCAAAACCTTTATTTCCTCTTTTAACAGGGCAGGCTTTAAACCTCCCATGAAGACTGGGAAGGAATATGAGCTGAGCAATCCAATCTCCAGGAGAAATTGCAGAAATGCCTTTAGGTGACTCCACCATAATTTTGACTATTCCAGTGTAATCTGGATCTATAATTCCAGGATGAACTCTTAATCCCCTCAACGTTGTGGAAGACCTCCCTATAAGTAACCCTACTGTTCCTGGATCAAGAGGCCCCTTAAAGTCCGATTCTACAAGCTGGACCCCCCATTCTAGGGGTTAATACGAGCCTGGTGGTGGCACGGAGGTCCAATCCTGCTGAGCCCACAGTGGCTCTCCGCGGCCCTTCAGATGCCGGAGAGTAGGCCACGCCTCCTGACACGTGTCCTCGTTCTGACTCTTGACTGCCCCATATATTTGTGGGCCCTGGGGACGGGGACCCTGCTGCCCGTTTTTTGGATGGGAGCCTGCAGGCATCTGAGGCAGAGGCTGGCCATTTATATCCTTTACAGACCAGCACTCATTTGCCCAATGTTTTCTCATTTTACACCTTGGACATAAGTCTGGCTGAGCTAGATGCTGACCACCAGGCCCTTGAAGGGCGCCTCCTCTTTCTGGACACTGCCGTTTTAAATGTCCCACTTTGCCACACTTAAAGCAAGCACCTGAATTTGCTCTTTTCCCTTGTGTCAGCTGGACCACTGCTGCCGCTAAGCCTGCATTTGTAAGTGGCCCTCCCAATTCTCTACAAACCTTCATCCATGCCTCAAGCTTTCAACTTTTGTAAGGGGTTATAGCATTTCTGCATTCCTTCGTGCATTGCTCATACACTAGTTGTTTTATCAGTGGCATAGCCTGATCTGGATCCCCAAAAAGCCTGCCTGCAGCTTCAACCATGCGAGCAACAAAGTCTGAGAATGGCTCGTTGGTGCCCTGCAGGATCTTAGTAAGATTGCCACTCACTTCTCTCCAGTTGGACAGGGCCTTCCAGGCTTTAATGCCAATTTTATTAATCTGTTCTAAGACTCAAACTGGGTACCCAGTCTGTTGATTGGCAAAATGACCCTGGCCAAGTAGCATGTCCCTGTCCCAAGCATGATTTCCTGCTGCTAGAGTGACATCCGCTTCCTCATTTGAAAACTCTATCAAAAAGGCTCTCCAGTCTAGATATTGTCCTGGGCTCAAACATGCACGGGCAAGCCCACTCCAATTACTGGGCATCATGCAATATCGGTTCAAGACTTCTACCTGTGCCACCGTGAAGGAAGCACTAGTTCCATAAGTTCTTACAGATTCAGTCAGAGATTTAATAATCTTAAAATCTAAAGGTTCCTCATATCCGTTCCCTTGTGGATCCTGAAACACTGGATAAGCTGATCATAGCTCAGTTCTCACTTCTTTCCAGACACCTGAACAAAATGTGCCTCCAGAGCCGCCCTGACCTCCTCCCACATAAGGTGGAGGGGTGGAGGGTGTCATGGGGTGAGGCGTCAGAGCTTTTGAACCTCCTTTCTCCTTTTTCCTCTCCCTTTTTCTCAGTTTTGCTTTCTCCAATCTTTTAATGAGTGCCTGTAGTTTTTCATCTGACTCTTCTAACTCATAAAGGTCTGGGTATAACTCTCCCTGCTTCTGATGATTCCTTTTACTGCTTGCCTTTTCTGACTTTTCTGATCTTTCCTCTTGCAACATCTCCAGCGCTGCCTGTCCATTTTCTACTGCTTCACTACAACACTGGTCCTCCAGACAGCCCCTAACAAGCTTCCAAATTGGCCTGACCCCTCCCTTAAGCGTCCCTTGCTCAAATGTAAAATCTTGGTCTCTCCCTAGCTTCTCCCACAATGATATCAAGAGACTCCCTGAAACAGCGAACCAGGGTGCAATGGTGTCACACTCGTTCAGAAACCTCTCCAAAATACTTCGTTTTATCTTTAAATTCTTTGAACATAGCAGCTCGTTAAGAGCCAAAAAAATTGGGTGAGAATGATTAGCGCCCATATTTGATTTCTTTTTCTTTTTCTTTTCTTTTCGTCGACTTGCGAAATGGCTCTTCGCTCATTCCTTATCTACAGAGTGAGCAATTAATCTCCACTCTTGACACGGTTGCTCTCTCTTTATTTACAGAGTGAGCAATTAACCCCCGCTTTGCTGGGGTTGCTCTCCCTTTATTTACAGGGTGAGCAATTAACCCCTGCTTTGATCACAGGATCCCCCCCTTTTTTATTATTTTGGGAACTTACCTGTGCACAGCCCTGGCTGCAGAGGGTTCTGAGTCCTTAACAAGAGGAGTCCCCATACGAGGCCACCAGTTGTAGTGTCTGCTTTGTCCCACAAAGAAAACACCACACTGGACTCTTCCCAATGCAGTTTAATCAGGAAGCTTGAATAATCTTCTGACACCGGGGAAAGCCAGCCCACAGCTAAAATAGCCTCTGGGTAGCCAACTCCAGCCAGCCACATGGGAAATGCGGATAGGCCCAGGTACACAGAATCAAGCCAGATTCTTAGCTTTAGCCATGTATGGAATTATTTACAACTGAGAGCCCTCACCATTCGGGGTGTGAAAGGCAGAAGCCAGCGCCGTCTTTAAGATGCGGCACAAAGCAACTCACTACAGTTTGTTTTTCCCTTTGAAGTTGAATAGTGTTCTTTCAAGGTAGTTCTAGAGATGTAGCCCATTATCATCATGGCAGGAACATGGCTGTGTTCAGGTCAGGTAGACATGGTATTGGCAACATCTTAATCATAAGCCAACAGCAGGGGGACCGTGACACTGAGTAGAGCTTAGGCTAAAAAGCTATACACTGCAACTTTATTATTATTTCATGTTTTAAATTTTTGTAACACGATTGTAAAGACTTAAAGATAAAATTTTGACAGTAGTTTACTTATTCCCATTGAGTAGCAAGATTTTTGCATTATTTAGTATCAGAATTCTAGCTATTTTGTACCTGTTCGAGTTAAGATATTTCAATGACAGCAGATAGAACTAATTAAGATAGTTCAATGGCAGCAGATCAGAACTAACAAGGAGTCTTGCCCCAACCCTCCAGCTCTGCAGATTCTCGGCATGAGCACTCTGGATTACCCCATGAGCCACAGAGAAGGCATGGACTTGAACTCATCATTTTGCCAACACCTGGTTGCTGGGACCATTTGGAGTCCTGGCCTCCAGCTGCTCTTCCCTGCTAGTGATCTTTACTTTCCTTCTGATTTGAGTTACTGAAAGCTGTGTCAAAGTTGTTTACCAACTCTGCTTCATGAGCACGTGTTGCCGTGGCCTTGAGGATCAGAGGATAAGGTTTTCACCTGTTGGCCCACTTGACTGTTGGGTATATAAGCCTCCATGGTGCTATTGAATAAAGGGGCTTCTTACCAGTGAATAGAGGTCCGTATCTCTGTCTCTGTGTCATTGTGTGTTTCAACCTCCATCCCCTTGCCCGAAGCTCGGGAACTGTATGGTAGCGCATAGAGCGCAGACAGGCGTTGTGAACAGCACCTGGTATTTCTGTAACTGAGACAAACAAGACAGAAATACAGGAAAAAACTATTCATGTGATTGTGATGGCTTATACCAAGAGGAAAGTGGAAGTCATCAACGTGTCCTGGTGGAAAACCCTTCACCACTAATCAGAATACATCAAATGACTCAGCTAGCTAAGCTGCTGTGTGACCCTGTAGGTGTGGATGAGCAAAGCTCAGAAACACTAATACTGAGGCATGTACAAGCAGTGAGTCGGGCTCCTAGGGCTCCAACAGAATATTAATAGGAGTTATAAATTTGAATATATTAGATGGTCAATTTGATTGCATGGATTTTCTTTGGAATGAACATTCTGCCGTTGGAAGTGAGCATGCTCCGTCTGTTCTGACATTCTCACAGGTCTGTGTCTAGTGACTCTTGGGACCTGAGCTCTGCTGCCGCTGTCCTCACACAGGTGCCTCTTCTCATCGTCTTTGTTTTCCGTAATCCCGACTCCAAGCCCCGTTTCAGTTTCCTACAGCCACAACTTAGTCTATCACCTTATTTCTCAATTGTTTTAGTGTTTCCTTGTTATTTTTCTCTCTCTCTGCTAGTCCTAGCTTCATGAAAGAATTTGTCTCTGCACATCACTTCCATCCTGCGTTTTCCAACCCTGCTTGTGACACAATCATCACATTTGAGTGAAGCAGAGCCTGTAGGACAAGTCAAAGAAGCTTTGGACCCAATGCAAATGAGCCACGGTGACTAGCATCTGTAGATGCTGTACTGTTGTGTTTGTGGTGTTGAAACTGAACCTCCAACACGTGAGGCAAGCAGATGACTATGTGCTAGCTCTCCAGGCATTATTCTAATATACTGTTTTAAATATTCCCCACTATTAGCCTAATGATGGCATTTTCTAAAACATAGTCTATATTTTAAAATGTCTAAAGTGAATTAAATAGATAAAGCATGTAGATAATCATAATCATTTGGTTTATGAATGTATGAGGGACAGAATTCCTGTGAGTCCTCATGATTTTTATCATATTAACTTAGGTACATTTCTCCTCGTTTGACTGTTCACTGTGCCAGGTGCTGAAGGAAGTATGGAGCACTGAGACTTATATTTCCACGTATGCATTGCTTCCTGCAGACACCACTGCAGCCACCATCTGTGTCAGATTCGTATCCACGCAATTAAAAAATTGAAAATCAAAGTCAAACAAATAATCATAAAATGAATTCACTTACTGAACAAGATAATTTGAGGTATTTTTAGTTGTTCAACTGTATAAAATATTTATCCTTTACAAAGAGGAGATTTGGTAAGGGTATAATCTAATCATTGGGAATTATACTGAAGTCTGCATAGAGGAGGGACATAGATGTCACATGAGGAAATGCTTGGTTTATGTACCAGCTCTATTAATGAACAGCTAGTGTAGCCTTGGCGAAGCTGGTTCTCAGAGGGCTAAGCACAGGAGCAAGCTGGTTGCTAACTCAGGAGGCTGAAACCTGGAGAGATTGCTGAGTCTGGAATTTTCAGGACAGTCTGGAGAGAAAACCCATCTCAAAATCAAGAGAAAACGTGGATGTCAGATAATTAATAGTCTAGTTAATATTAGTGAAAAATATTGTGATTCCAGCAGAGTTCCCG